TGGATGGATGATAGATGGATGGATGGATGGATAGATAAGTGGATGGATGGGTGGGTGGATAAAGGGGTGGGTGGATGGGTGGGTATGTGGATGGATGGATGGATAGGTGGATAGGGGGGTGGGTGGATGGATTGGTGGATAGAAGGGTAGATGGGTGGGTATATGGATGGATGGGTGTGTGGGTGGTGGTTTAGAGAGAAGAGGAGATCCTTCTCTCAGGGAGTTTGTGAACTAAGCAAAGAAATAAAACCAACCCCTGGGGGCAGCAGTGACAGAGCTGGTCCTGCATGCAGGTGCTCCAACTCTTTAGGCATGGTTTTGGAGTGTACTTGATGACTTGGAAGAGTCACAGTGGGGTTTTTTTTGTGTGTGTGTGAGGAAGATTAGCCCTGAGCTAACACCTGTTGCCAATCCTCTTCTTTTTGCTGAGGAAGATTGGCCTTGGGCTAACATCCGTGCCCATCTTCCTCTACTTTATATCTGGGACACCGCCACAGCATGGCTTGATAAGCAATGTGTGGGTCCATGCCTGGGATCCGAACCTGCGAACCCCGTGCCACCGAAGCAGAGCACGCGAACTTAACCACTACGCCACTGCGTCAGCCCCCCACAGTGGGTTTTTATCAGCCTTACTTCCAGGGTCCTGTTTGGCCTGGGCTTAGGTCAACCCACAGCTGTTTTCTCTGAGCCATGCTAAAGGGTGGTGGGGAGCTGGCCCGGGACAGAGCCCCTACAGAGGGGCCATGCCCACCTGGAGACAGAGAGGGGAGAACAGGGGTGCCAGAGCAGTGTTTGTGGTCACCACATGCCAGCTGTGGGGCACTGCTGCCCTGCACCACTCCTGTGACCCATAAAAGGTGTGACTAGGACCCTGGGCACCGGGAGGAGCTGGGGAGACAGCTGGGCCCCCAATCCAGCAGGTAGCAGAGGGAGGCTGCCTAGGCCTGGTTCTGCAGTGCGAGCTGTGAGGGCGAGGTGGCGGGGTTGGGAGGCCGTGGTCCCCAGTGTGGAGACAGCTCCCAGGAGGGAGTCCCCAGCCCTCCTGGACCACACGGCAATGTGCAGCCTCCACCAGATGAAATGAGCCAGTTTGGATGATACAAGCAGGTGGCTCAGTCTTAAATATTTGATAATGCTCATTTTCTTCACATTAAGGAGAAAAAGAAGTGGATGTTTTAGACATTACTATGAAAGGGATTTGGGGGTTTTCCCATTTAATCGCTGGGGACCCTGACTTCCCCTAGAGACGGGTGTCCTGAGAGCATGCTGCCACTAGGGGGCGCAGGATACCTCGGCTGAGGCTGGCGTTCTCACAGCGGCACGTGGCTGGGTGGGGAGGTGTTCTCACAAGCAGATGAGGGCACGGGTCTGTCCCCTAGGAAGGCCGAAAGGGTTTGCGTTTTTTAGCAGGGGCGGGGGTCATCTAATCTGGCAGTCAGGGTGAGTGAGTTCCAGACAGTCAAGGCATCCTGGTCCCCGGTCCCCCTGAGACTCCATGCTTGGCCTGTGCTGCTGTGATGCAAATGCAGCTAAGCTTGGGCAGCTGGCTCAGCCACAGAGCCCTGGCCTAACCCCGCCTGACCCTCCCTGTGGTTTCTGTCACCTCCCAGGTGTGGTACAGAGAGGATGTCAGCCACCCCAACCCTGAAGGCTCCTCGTGGTCCCTCATGGACACCCCAGGGGAGGCAGTCCAGATCAGCTGTGGGCCCCACGACCTCCTGTGGGTCACGCTCTGGGAAGGGCAGGCCTTGGTCCGGGAAGGAATCAACAGGAACAATCCCAAAGGTGGGCATTCCGGGGCAGCCCTGCACCCGTACTGGGAGAGGTGGGGGACGCCCAGCTTCTCCCCAGCGCTCTTGCTGATGGGGGCTGCCTGCACTTCCTTCTGGGGCTGAGTAGGAAGTTCCTGGTCCGTAGTGGAGCCTCCCACATCTGAAAACGGGATCATGCACGTCGCAGTGGGAGTTGGCGTGGTCTGGGCCATCACCAAGGACCGGAAAGTAAGACGGGGTCGCTGGGGGCTGGGCCTGGGGCTCCGTTTATTGTTGAGGGTTGTGTGGTTTTTTGTTCCTGTGAGTGTGGTCCAAACCCTGTAGAACAATCTGGCATCAGCCAAGCACAGTGCATTTTCTGTTGTTGACGTCACTGGTAATCTCCAAGATGTTTGGTGCCTGCAGAATTCCCCCTCGCCCGCGTCCCCGTCCCAAGGGTAGAACAAGTTTATTTGTCACTCAATAGGCCATGACATTTCAAATAATCAGAAGCTAATTTTCTGAAACCCTCGGCTAACTGAATGCCTCCCTTTGCTCCTGGCCAGGGTTTTTCATTTTTACTTTATTGGAGGCAAGTCCAATAAAATAAGTTGATTTCAGTTTGCTTCCATGATCTCTTTCAACCTCACATCAAGGGCATCCTGTAGCATCCAGGGGGAGGGATCACCCACACATGTGAGTCTGTCTTCAGTGCTGGAGGTCCCCAGGCCTCAGGCCACCCCCTAACCTGAGAAAATACAGATCGATTGTCCCCCCATGGGTCCCCAAACACCCCACTTCCCAGAGACCACAACTCCTAAGGCCCTCTCAGAGCAATGGATTAAATGAGCAGAAAATTGTATTCATATGAGCAATTTGCTCAGTCTTCAGAAAAATATTTGTGCAAATTTTCTTTGGGTTAAGGAGACATTTTAAATGTTCTAGAAATTTTTATAAAAGAGATTTGAGGATTTTCTCGTTCAACCGGTCACCCCCCGCCCCCACCGCCCCGTTCCACCTCAGGAATTGTGGTTGAACAACGTTAAGTACTAACAGCACACCATCCTCTAAGGGTCTGAGAGCTGATGGGGCCTTGCCCAGGCCACCACCCAGGGTGGGTAAGGACGGTCGTGGGGGAGCGCAGCGGGGGCCAGGGCGGGGGTGGAGTGGACCACCAGGTGAGCCTCAGAGACACAGGTGGGCTTGAGGGAAATTTGGTTGAATTGTGTATATTTTTACAAGTTGACGTGAAAAAAGTATTTCATAAAGCACTAAGAATAGACCCAAAATATGTTATTTATTCTAATAATGAGCTTAGAAAAATGGTTTTCCTAAATGACATCATTAAGGCCGTTATCTTACATAGAGACAAACTTGATTGGACAAAATGGCGTTGTCCTAGCGTCAAGCGTGAGCTAAGGTGGGGATTGCACAGAGGTCCATGGCGGGTAGGATGTCACTGGTTAGACTCACAGGTCAGCTTCTAGATTTGAGATGCAGTATGTGTCCTGCCCCCCCAACCACCGCCCATAACCCCCTCCCCGCTCTAACTGTCTGCAGTGAAACAGCTGACACCTGCTGCTACCGCCTCGTGCCAAGAGGTGCTGAACTGGTGGAGAGGGTTCTAGAAAGATTCAGGCAGCCTTGTCTCCTGAAGGGGCAATGCCCTCAGCCAGAAAATGGATGAGAAGCCACCAGGACAGGAGTGGCTGGGGGCAGGTGACCCTCAGCCCTGTGGGACGGTGCCAAGCCCAGAGGGAGATGCGGCAGGGGTGTGGGAAAAGGGACGTGAATGAGTGTTTCCTTTCTAAATGATGTGCCGTGCTCATTTGTGTTGTGAACCAAAGGATTGAATTATTCGTTTGTTCTTTCTGAGCCTTAAAAAAAAAAAAACCCTCCATTGCAGTGGCCCTCCAGGGAGGTATATTTATCTCTGACTGTCGCAGGTGTGGTTCCGCAGAGGCGTCAACTCTCACAATCCCTGTGGCACCAGCTGGATCGAGATGGTTGGAGAAATGATGATGGTGAACGTGGGGCTGAACGACCAGGTGTGCACGTAGTTCTGAGCCTGGGTTCCCGGGGGTGGGGTGGCAGCTCAGAGAGAGTGGAGGTCTCAGGATGGGGGCTCCTGACGCTTCCCGCTGTCCCTTCCCACCGGGCATGCCCATGATGCCGGCGCAGGCAGGGTCCCAGCGCCTCCGCACACTCCCAGCCTGTGAGGGCACCCAGGGGGCTGGTTCCGCCTGGGTCTCCAGACCCCGCCTGTCCCAGGTCACTCCCCCAAGGGCCATCAGAGCAGTGGCAGTGAGCAGAGGTTTGGGAGAGGGACATGCATCCTGGAGACTGGAAGAGTTTTGTTGAGAAATATTTGGGCAAAATCAGATCACCAAGTGAAGGGTGAAATGGATCTTCCCAACTTTGTAGACGCGGTGTCTCTTAAGCATCACTTGTAGAGTCCGTCCAGCGTAGCCTCCTTCCCGTGGGTAATGAGCTTTGGTTACTTTTAAGACTCAAGGTGTGAAGGTGACACCTCCACCCGTCGCACTACGATAGAAGCTCTTCCCAGGGGGCTGCTGGCCTTTTCTGTGCCCCAACACCCTCTCCCACCTGCCCTGGTGACCTGGACATGCAGCGGTCAGGGGTGGGTGAACAGGCACAAGGTGGTACACGCGGGGCCTGAGCATGGAGGCCAGCCTGCCAGGGCCAAGTGATGGAGGCGCCACAGCCCTCCCAGCAAGGCCACCTGGGGCCACGTCTCTGCAGACCCTGGGCCCTCCAGCTGCCCAGCACACCTGCCTTCCTCAGTGCCCAAAGGCAGAGGGGAGGGGACCTGCCCGGCCACCTTTCCCACAGAGAATGGGGTCAGACTCAAGGAGGTTATTTTGTATCTTTAAAAAGACCAGGACCATCCTCTGGGTTCGCTTGGGGAGCAGCTTCCTTCCCACCAGAGGCTACGTGGAAGAAGGGGACATGGGTAGACTTTGTGTCCTGGCTCAGTGCCCACCGGACCACCACTTCCTCCGGACCCTGTCGCCCCACAGTCCTGGGTCTGCCTGAGGTCGGGGAGGCAAGACAGGGTCCCTGCTCTCCTGGGCTTGGTGCCGTGCCCTCCCCCAGCCCCCTCTGGACTCTCCTTCCTGCATTTGACTTCTGCACCCACCCGTGTCTACCCCATCGACCTTCCCAGCCCTAACACACATGTGCACGCATGCATCTCACTGCACATATGCGGGGACTCCTGCCTGCCTTTGCAGACGTGTCCTCCAGCCTTGGGGTACTCTCCCCGACCCCGTCCTACCCCCATGCCCCCTAAAGGGAAGGGAGCCCCCGGTCTGCACCAGCCTCCCACCTAGCAGCACCTCTCTCTGTTCCAGGTCTGGGGCATCGGCTGTGAGGACCGGGCCGTGTACTTCCGTCAGGGCGTCACCCCGAGTGAGCTCAGTGGGAAGACGTGGAAGGCCATCGTCGCCAGCCGAGAGTGTGACCGGTCGCACTCTGGCAGCTCGTTGAGTCTCCTCAGGTGATCCAGGGGTGGCAGGGCATGGAGGCGTTGGGTTGGGAAGGGCTGTTGGAGGCCTCGGTGGGCAGTGTCCAGCCTCTCCCTCGGGGCATTGGGCCTCATCCCATGCAGGAGAAAAGCAGGTTGTGACCCACCAGAGCCACAGTCTGTGGGGTCTCCTCCTTCCTGTGCCTGGTGTCCTGGCTAGGCCCGAGGGTGTGGGTGGGAGGTGACAGGTGAGTGAGGCTGCAATGTCCATCCATGTTAGAGCTGGGGGTCGTCCCTGAGCAAGGCTGGCCTGTTGGTTCTGAAGTCTCGAGGTCTGGGAGAGAAAAGGCTTCTTTGCAGGGTGGATGCTTAGGCCCCTCTGTCAAAGGAAGGCACGGAAGAAGGTAGAGCGTCTCTAGTCTAGAGCTGGACCTCAAACTTGGGCAAGCATCAGAATCGTCCGGGGGGCTTGTTCTGTCAGATCTCCAGGACCCACCCCCAGAGCTTCTGATTCATAGATCAAGGTGGGGGCCAAAGTTTTGCATTTCTTGCAAGGTCCCAAGTGTGCGCTGCTGCAGTTCTGGGGACAATGCCTTCAGATCTGTGGGTCTAGAGAGTATGGACAGAGGAGTCTCAGCTCTGCCCACTGGCTGTTAGAGTGCAGGCAGGTGACTTAGCATCTGAGCTGGAGACGCCTCAGCTCTGCCAGTGGAATGCCCGCAGTGCTCACCTGCCCAGTCACGTAGCTCACGGAGCCTTGGCTCGGTGTTCTGCGGCAGACCGCATTCCCGTCTGCAGCTTGGGCCCTCCCCAGACCCTGATCCACATCCCTTTGCTCCTGCAGCTTGGTGGTCACCATACTGTTGCACTGCCGGCCCAGAGGGCCAGGGGCCAGGCAGGGTGTGCCCACAGTGACCTGAGGGTTTAGTCTCCTCAGCTGGTAGTTCTCAAACTGAACAGCACATTGGAATCAGCTGAGAAGCTTTGGAAGCTACTGGTGCCAAATCTTCATTACCTTGGATTTGGCAATGGCTTCTTAAATATGACACCAAAAGCACAAGAAACAAAAGGAAAAATAGGTAAATTGGACTTCATCAAAATGAAAACTTTTGTGCATCAAAGGACACTATCGGGAAAGTGAAAAGACAACCCAAAGAATGGGAGGAAATATTTGCAAATCATATATTTGACAAGGGCTTAGGATCTAGAATATATAAAGAACTCTTACCACTTGACAGCAAAAAGACAACACAATTTAAAAAGGGCAAAGGACTTGAATAGACGTTTCTCCAAAGTAGATAAGCAAATGGCCAACATGCACACGAAAAGATGCTCATCTTTTCATCCACCATTAGTCATTAGGGACATGCAAAGCAAAACCAAAAGAGATACCACTCCAGACAAGATGTGGAGAAATTGGAACTCATACCCTGCTGTGAATGTGAAATGGTGCAGCCACTTTGGAAAATAGTCTGGCAGTTTCTCAAGAAGTTAAAGATATGATTCAACTATTTCACTGCTAGATACATACCCCAAAGAATTAAAAACAGGTGCTCAAACAAAAACTTGCACATGTTTATAAAAGCATTATTCATAACAGCCAAAAGGTGGACACAACTCATATGTCCATCAGTGGATGAATGGATTAATAAAATGTGGTATAGCCACACAATGGAATATTATTCAGCAGGAAAAAGGAATGACGTACTGATATGTGCCACAACATGGGTGAACCTTGACATCATCATACTAAGTGAAAGAGGCCAGTCACAAAAGTCACATATTGTATGATGGCATTTATCTCAAGTGTCCAGATTGGGCAAATCCACAGAGACAGAAAGCAAATTGGTGGTTGCCAGGAGGTTGAGGGGAAAGAGGAGGATGGAGAGTGAGCCCTTAATGGGTTTCCATTTGGGGTGATGAGAAGGTTCTGGAACTACGTAGTGGTGGTAATTACACAATATTGTGAATATACTTAATGCCACTGCACTGTATGATTTAAAATGGTAAATTTTACGTCACGTGTATTTTGCCACAATAAAAAAATAATACTATTGCCAGATCTCTACCCCTGATATATTGGTACAATTGCTCTGGGGTGCGGCCTGGGCGTCAGGACTGCTCTCAGTGCCTAGGCGTCCCAGCTCCCCGGGAAGCGGGGTCTCTGGTGTGCTGCACAGAGAGGCTGTGACTTGCCCAGGGTCGCACAGGTAGTCAGTGGTGGAGCAGAAGAGCCAGCCTGCCCACTGCAGGGCGTGTTCCTCCCTCAAGGGAGTCACAGGTCTGCCCCCTTTGTTCCCAGCGCTGGCTGCTTCTTTGGTGATGAGGTGAGGGGCAGTGGCGAGTCCTGTGTGCCAAGTGACACGGATGCTTCCTCGGACGCCGAGAGACCGGGGCCTGACCCGCCTGTCCCTGCAGAGTCTCTGGACTGTCCCAGGAACCCCAAGGACAGCTTCGCATCCGGCCCAGGCACCAGCAGGACTGCAGAGCATACTGTGGAGGTTGCCAGCCCGGCCACTCAGACCCCCAGGCCCGAGCCTCGCCCTGGCCCAGCCTCCACCCCAGCTGAGCTGCCCTGGACCAATATTGACTTGAAGGAGCCCAAGAAAGCGCCCAGCTACTCGGCTGCAGGCTTTCCTGAGACCACCGGCCTCTCCTCACTGGAGGTCCTCCCCCTAGGCTTGGAAGAGCCCTGCAGTGCCGACGACCGCCCCCTATGGGCCTGGGTGTCAGGAGGAGGCTGTGCCGTGGAGGCCCACTCTATGCTCAAGTGGTTCTCCGTGCATTCGGGTAAGGGGGGTGTCGGCAGGCCCAGCACCCCAAAGGGTGATCCTGAGGGAGGCGGAGCAGGCCCACTGTCCTGTCTGAACGTGCCCCCTGTGCTTAGCCAGTCTGTCTGCAGCCTTCCGAGACCAGCCGGTGCTGTCATAAGGAAGGGCACTGGCCTGGCGCCCTGTCCCCTCTCCCTGTCCCAGCAGTGGTGGCCATTCTGGGCTGAACTGGGGGGACATCAACTTTCCTATCAGGGTGAACGGTGGCAGGGAGCTCATGGGACGTTTTACAGAGATTATGGCTTTCTAGCAAGAAAGGGCTGATTAAAAAACAAAGAGCCCTGGGGCCGGCCCCGTGGGGTAGCAGTTAAGTGTGCACACTCCGCTGCTGGCAGCCCTGGTTCGGATCCCGGGCGTGCACCGATGCACCGCTTGTCAGGCCATGCTGTGGTGGTGTCCCATATAAAGTAGAGGAAGATGGGCACGGATGTTAGCCCAGGGCTGATCTTCCTCACAAAAAAAACAAAAAAAAAGAGCCCTGGCCTGCTCCCCAGCTGTGGGCCGGCCAGGCGCCTGGCCCTGAGGCTCTGGCTGGCCCGCAGGCCTGTCCGCCTCAGTGCAGATGCTCTCCCTGTCCATCACGCCGGCCCAGACCGCCGCCTGGAGGAAGCAGATCTTCCAGCAGCTCACGGAAAGGACCAAGCGGGAGCTGGAGAACTTCCGACACTACGAGCAGGCCGTGGAGCAGGTGGGCAGCCCCTGCACGCAGTTTTTTTCGGCGGGCATTCATCGAGTGCCTGCTGTATACCAGCCCTGAGGTGAAGTGGGAGGAACAGATAGATGGATGCGTCCATCCCTCTGTCCGTCCATCTTGGATGTGAAGCCGTCCCTTCCGGGCCCTTGTAGATTCAAGGATAAATGAGTCCATTCATTTATTCATCTGCACTAAAGAACTCTGTTCAGGCCCCACTGCGTTCCAGGCACAGTGTAGGCCCTGGGGACCCGAAGACACAGCAACCTCAGCAGGAGGCGGTGGGGGGGAATCACATCATCCTCTCCCAGCCCAAGGGAACCCCTCATGCCAGACAGTGTCGTGTTTTATTGAGACGAGGGAAGACAGGGTTGAGGGCCATCTCGGATCCCATCAGGCAGAGCCCATTCGCCAGAGGCCCACAGTCAGAAGTTACACGAAGCACGTGGCTAGTGTCACTCAGAGGACCTGGCTGCGTCTAGGCTGGTGGTGCAGAAGCATCTCGCCAGCAGCTAAGAGTTGGGCCTCCAGGGACAGGCAGGCCGGGTGTGCATCCCAGCTTTGCCACTGACTCACTGTGTGACACTGGGCCAGTCACAGAAGCTCCCCGAACCTCAGTTTCCCCATCCAGAACATGAGGTAACAGCGCCGATCCCACAGGCTGTTTGAGAATGAGGAGGTTATTTGTAGGCGACACTGGCTTGGGGCCTGGCACCTGTCAGGTGTCCGATAGCATCACTTTTGTCATTAGGGTAAAGAGGGGGAGCTGGGAGTGCCAGGCAGGAGCCCCTGGCGAGGCGGCGAAGGGACCAGGGGTCGGGGGGCTGGGAACTGGGTGCACACAGGGCCGGAGTCTGGGAGCCCAGGGGCCTGCCTGTGATTCTTCTCCTCTGCCCTTGCGGGCCCGTGCCACAGTCGGTGTGGGTGAAGACGGGGACCCTGCAGTGGTGGTGCAACTGGAAGCCCCACAAGTGGCTGGACGTCCGCGTGGCGCTGGAGCAGTTCACGGGGCACGACGGGGCCCGGGACAGCATCCTCTTCATCTACTACGTGGTCCACGAGGAGAAGAAGGTGCGGTGGGGGTCCCATGGCAGGGAGGTGCCCGGGGGAGGGGGGTGCAGGGGAGGGCGATGCCCGGGGGCTGCACAGGAGAGGGGGTACCTGAGGGGTACGTGAGGGGGTGCAGAGCTGGAGGGGCACAGGACTGGGCCTGGGACACCAGCCCCAAGGTGCCGGTTGGGGACCGGCGTCTGGCATCTACAGGTGCTGGCCCCTGGTGGCAGCAGTCCCCGCCAGTGGCGGGCAGGTGTGTGCCAGCCCCCGAGAGCCATCTCCGCACTCCGAGCAGCTGCGGACAGGCTCACGTTTCAGATGGGAAGTCAGGCTCAGGGACATAAAGCCACTCACCCCTCCCCACGGCCAGCATGTGACAGGGCTGGTGTCAGAACCCAGTCAGTCTGACTCGAAAGTGCCCTTGTCAACATCAGAAAACATTTCTTTAAGATGTAACTAAGGCATCTGCTCATGAACTAGGCTTCCATACTGGAACATGCTTGGCCCCAGAGACCACCACTGAAACCCATACTCCTTGGGGGACCCCAAGGACCAGCTCTGTGGAATTGGGGGTGACCCAGGCCGTCCCTGTCCATCCACCATGGTGGGGCTCCCCCAGAGGCCGGCCTTGTCCCCAGCCCCGTGGGTCTTGCTCTGTCACTGGGGACAGCCCTGCCATCCGCCCTCTGTGCACAGTACATCCACGTGTTCCTCAACGAGGTGACAGCGCTGGTCCCCGTGCTCAATGAGGCCAAGCACTCCTTCGCCCTCTATACCCCCGAGAGGACCCGGCAGAGGTGGCCTGTGCGTCTGGCTGCCGCCACTGAGCAGGACATGAACGACTGGGTGAGTGGGCAGTGGTCCCCAGAGGCCAGGGGTCAAGGGGCAGTGGTCTTGGGGTGACCCAGCCTCAGCCTGCCACCCACCCCCTTCCCAGCAGTGACTGTCTCCCCACGCCAGCTCGCCCTGCTCAGCTTGTCTTGCTGTGAGAGCCGGAAGGTCCACGGACGCCCCTCCCCACAGGCCATCTGGTCCATCACCTGCAAGGGAGACGTCTTCGTGAGTGAGCCCAGCCCCGACCTGGAGGACCCCGCACACCTGCTACCCTGCGACCAGATGTGAGTCGGCTGCGCTCAGGACGGGGCTGGGGCCTGCCACCCTCTCCAAGCACCCAGAGATGTGGTTCAGAAGGGAAGGCCGCAACAGGACCACACAGGGCCTCACTTCCCGCTGGCCAGCCACAGGCTTGACTGACTGGTTCCCAGGCCCTGAGTCCTCCTGGGCCTGTGTGAGGACCCCAAGCGGGGACGAGAAACCTGTCTGGGCTCCGGGCAGGTTGGCGCTGTCAAGCAGCTGCTGTGTGTTGGGGGAAGAGGGAGGGATGGCTCTGTAGGCAGCATTTAAAACCACAAGATGGAGTGAGGCTGCCCATGGGGAGCAGTGTCAGCAGAATCCCGGGGCATCTGGCATTTTGGGTGAGGAAGCGGAGGGGGACCCAGCAGGGGACACAGTGCTCCCCATTCTATCCTGAGGCTGCTCCCAGAAGGTCACCCAGAGCCCGTGAGGACCAGGGGGATGTAGGTGAGACCAGGAGGCCCTGCTCAGGAGGGGAGAATTGATGTGTTTGTCCACCCTTTGAGGCCCTGTGTGCCTGGTGTCCAGTCAGACAAGTCAGACGACCTCTGGTGACAGTGGCAGGGCCTCAGCCCGCAGGAGCGTGACCCAGGTGGCAGCTGCTCCCTGCACTCTGCCCGGCCAGGAGGCCACACTGTCACCATGCAGCGTGTTGTGACGTCCTTTCAGTCTGCTGGCCCATGTTGTGGCTCGTCTTCCTCCATGCCGTGGCGTGCCCGTCCCAGACCCCAAGGGGCAAAGGGAACATGGGCTGCTGACCTCACCCCCCATCTGCATAGCTCCGGGCATCAGCGGCTCCCGAAGCGCTCCCCCCGCCGCCCCGCAGGGGGCCTGCCCATCTCCTGTGCCGACTCTTGGCTCACCTTAGCTCTGATTAATACCCGATGGGAAGTCCAGCAGTTTCCGGCATCCTTAGTAAAGGCTGTTGTTTGGTGACTGAAGACGAGTAACGTAGGGCGTCCCCAGAGGCCAAGGGCCAAAGGGGGTCGAAGGCTGGAAAGCCCTGCTTGGGTGCATTCCTCCCTGCCCTCTCTCCCGTCCTCCCAGGTTCTGGCGGCAAATGGGAGGCCACCTGCGGGTGGTGGAGGCCAACAGCCGGGGCGTGGTGTGGGGCATCGGCTACGACCACACGGCCTGGGTCTACACGGGCGGCTACGGCGGAGGCTGCTTCCAAGGTGAGGGTGGCCCATGCACCATGGCTGGCAGGACCAGCTTCCCGAGTCCTGCCCATGCCTTCCCGGGCCAGTCCCTCCTCTAATGCTTCTGGCTTCCCTGCCCCATGCCGGAGCCGCTGTCCCAGTGTTGACTCTTGGTTGACAGCTGGCTGACAGGTGACCTTCGCCACTGCCGGCCTCCACAGGGGAACAGTCCCAGGGCCAACCCATGAGGCGAGAGAGCCTGGAGACCAGGCCTTGTCTCCGACCTGCCTTCCTGGGCACCCATGGCTGAGCTGGGGCCGTGAAGGTTCTAGAAAGGCAGCTGCCAGGGGCCTCCAGCATGTCCAGCCCCTCATTTCACAGATGAGCCCTCAGGGCACATTGGGGCAGCTCTAGGACCCCAGTCTCCTGATTCCCAGGCCTCAATTCCAAGCCCTCTTTAGGTGGGTCATGCCGTAGGGGATGAGAGCTTGCTGAACCCCTGTGGGATCCCTGAGTTCTGGGAGGTAGAGTCCCTGTCTCTCCCCTACTGTAAATGGAGGCAGAAACAAACACTGAAATGGGACATGCCACAGTCCACACGCCCCACAGTGGGGGGCGGCTAATCCTGTACAACTGTGGGTCCACTAAGACCACAGGAACACACATCTGCACAGGCCTAACAGCTTCCCCATTTGTGAGGTGGGAATTATTTTTGTCCCCATCTTACAAATGAGGAAATTGGGTCTCATGGGGGTTATGTGAATGGTCCAAGGTACCTTTGTTAGTAAGGAGAGAACTGGGGGGGCCTCACACCTGCCCAGTGCCCAGACGGCAAGGGAGGACGAGATGTAGCCAAGAATAGAGTGTGAGGTGGCGGAGCTGGTGGTGTAGAGGGGAGGTTTAGTGGGCAGCAGGTTCTTCTCATCCCGGTTGTGCAACCCCAGAATAATCACAGAGGAGGCAACTGAAGCAGGGCAGCCCCGAGAGATGAGCTCAGCAGGCCTGTGAAGCCCTCTCAGCCGACCCTCTCCACCCACCCTCCCTGCCCATTCTCTGCGGACTTCGGAGCTTCAGACAGAAGCCCGAGTCCCGAGCAGGCAGGCGCGGCCTGGGTCCCGGCAGCTTCCTCTCCCCACAGGCCTGGCCAGCAGCACCAGCAACATCTACACACAGTCAGACGTGAAGTCCGTCTACATCTACGAGAACCAGCGCTGGAACCCCGTCACAGGCTACAGCAGCAGGTGAGCAGCCCGGCGCCCGGCCCAGGCCACCGTCTTGACAAGACTGGAGGGCCACGTCCAGTGTAGCGTGAGAGCTGGCATCCGGCCCCTGACGTGGAACTAACTGGATCTTCTGGTTACAGAGAGTTTTTTCCTTGAATCTTTACGTGTGATGCATATTTTAAAAACGCACTTATTGAGCGGTATTACATGCCTAAGAGCACAAAGCGTGAATGTATGTGTATGCATATATTCAACGATCTGTCTGTGCATAGACGGATATCAATCATTGAGTTATCACAAATCGAACACCAGTGTAGCCACCCCCCAGGACAAGAAACAGAGCCTTGCCAGCCCCCCACCGCCTCTGGTGCCCCTTCCCTTTTGTCACCCCTCCCTCCTCACCAAGAACCGCCATCCCAACTTCTAACACTGTTATAGTTTTGCTTGCTTTTTGGGGTGGGGGCAGTGGTGGTTGCTTTGTTTTTTGAAGTTTTGCTTAATTTAAGCTACTGAGAATATCATGGCCTCCAGCAAAATTATTTTAATCCTCCAAATGTGAGACTTTTGGACAAGACAGTCAATATGTTTGTTTTGGCAGAAGGGGAGACGCTATATAAAATCTAGATTGTTACGTGGCTTTTTATTTCTCTCCCACTCAGCATAGACACGTATTTCTCATTGCTCTTGTCCTGAGGTTTTTGTATTTTTAGAAAATAAGCAGGTTGTGGAATTTCTTAGCCTTTAAAACCCGCTGCAGGACTTTTGGCCAGTGATGCTCAAACTCTAGCATCATCCAGGCGCTCCGTTTGGGCCCCCCCAGACTCAGCCCTGGGGGTCTCTTCTTTCGACTGGTCCTGTTTCATGTCCTTTATGATAAAACTCTGATCATAAGTATAGCACTTTCTGAGTTCTGTGAGTCGTTCTAGCAAATTATCAAACCTGAGGAGGTAGTGGGATTCCCCCCAATTTGTAGCCAGTCAGTCAGAAGTGCAGGTGGCCTGGGGACCCACAAAGTGTGGCTGGTGTCTGAAGTGGGGCGGTCTTGCTGGGGACCATGCGCTTTGACTGTGGGGTCTGTGCTGACTCCGGGGGTTAGCGTCAGAGTCGTATTCAGCTCACCCAGCTGGTGTCAGAAGAGCCAGTTTTCCACAGTGGATGTACCAGTTCACACTTTACCAACACATCTTTGCCGGTTTCTTTTATTTTAGCCACACTCAAGCGTGGCTAGCATCTCCTGTTTTAAGTTTCTGTTTCCTGATGACTAACGAGGCAGAGCACCTTCCTGCATTGACTGGCACTCCGATACCCTCATTTGTGGAATGCCCCTTTGAGTCCTTGTCCCATGTTTTGGTTGGATCCTCTTTTTCTTGCTTTGTCAGTGTTGTGTGCGCATTCAGGATGCGAGCCCTCTGTCAGTTACTTCCGTTCTGTGGTTTGCCTTCCCACCTTCTTAGTGGTGACTTTTGATTGTTAAATGTAGTCCAGTTGATCGATTCTTTTTTTTTTTTTTTTTACGTAAAATTGGGCCTTTAAAAAATCCTCTTCTGGCCGGCCCGGTGGTGCAGTGGTTAAGTGCATGCTCTCCGCTTCGGCGGCCCGGGGTTTGCAGGTTCGGATCCTGGGCGTGCACCGACGCACTGCTTGTCAAACCATGCTGTGGCAGCATCCCATATAAAGTAGAGGAAGATGGGCACAGATGTTAGCTCAGGGCCAATCTTCCTCGGCAAAAAGAGGAAGATTGGCATCAGATGTTAGCTCAGGGCTGATCTTCCTCACACACACAAAAAAATCCTCTTAAGAAATCTCATGAACACCAAAGTAATGAATACATTCTCCTATCTTCTAGAACAGCAGTCAGCAAACTTTTTCTATAAAGGAGCAGATAGTAAATGTTGTAGGCTTTGTGGGCCACACGGTCTCTCACAACTGCTCGCTCTGCAGTTGTTGCTTTGTCAACGATTGAGCGTCCATGTGTCCCAGTAGGATTTATATCTGGACACAAATTTGAATGGCATATGATTTTCACATGTCATGAAGCATTATTCTTCTTTGGATTTTTTCAACCATTTAAAAATGTAAAAACCACCCTTAGTTTGTAGGGTGTGCCGAAATAGGCAGCGAGCCTGGTTGGGTCCACAGGTCACATAGTTTGTGGATCCAGTTCTAGAAGCTTTATTCCTCTGCCTCGTCCATTTAGGTCTAGAGCCCCACCTCCCCACCCCCAAACTGTCGGGTGTAGAGTGTGGGCTGGAGGTCAGGTGTCGTTGTTTGAATATCCAGTGACCCACACCATTTATTGAAAGGACTGACCTTCCCCCTTGCGTCACAACGGCCACCTTTGTCTTAACTCAGTGTCCATGCAGGCAATGCTCCGTTCCCGAGCCCTCCTCTCTCTTGAGCCATTGGGTACCTCGCGCTAACCCCCCACTGTTCCAACCACTGTCCCCTTATGGGAAGCATTCAAAGCTGACAGAACAAACCATCTCGGCTTCTTCAACAGCGTTTCGGCTGTTCTCCGATCATTTCCAGATGAATTTTAGAAGCAGCTTGTCACAGTCCCCAAAAACCGTTGCAGTCTTGGTCAGGATGGCCTTGGATCTCTACATGAATTTGGGTAGAAAAGTTATGTCACAAATCCTGTCTCCACAATGTGGGCATAGTTTACACCTCCATTTATGTAGGGCTTCTTTAATTTCTTCTTAATAAGGTTTTGTAACTTTTTATATAGGAATCTTGACGTCTTTTATTAGATGGTATTTCATATTTTTTGATACTATTGTTAATGGCACATTCAAGCTTATTTATTTCATTTTTTAGCTGTGTGTGGCTGTCTACAGAAATGCAATTGATTCCCCTCCTGTTTTTTCAAAATTGGTGAAAGGAAGAAATACCGAATAATGTGAGAACAAACCGTAAACGCACCAACCAGAGGCAGTAACCATTACTCGCATTCTGGTCTGTTTCCTCCGGCCCGCCCTCTGTGTGTGTCCGTGTGCCTGAGTGTGGGGGACAAAACCCTGCACATAAAGGTGGTCTGGGATGGCCTCAAATCCGATAGCAGGGAGGGATCTGGTTGACCTAACCCTGACTCAGTCTTGGCCGTGTAGACTGTGACCTTTCACTGTTGTGAGAACAGTTTAAAGGATTTTCTTGTGTGTAAATATTTGTGAGTTTCTCTGTTCACCCCCCGTAAATCAAGGTTCGAGCTCTTCTGAGGCAGTTGATACACGTCGCTGAATAGGTCCTGGAAACCTCCACATCGGCTATGTGTAGCGTCCACACGGCACGCTGACTTGCCTGCGTCTCCCCTCCCTCCCTCCTCAGTCCTGGGGAAGAGGAGCAGGGCAGCTCCGTGCTCCCTGGGCCATATAGAGAGTCCAAACCAAGGGCCAGCCTCCTGGCACCGCAGCCTCACGGCCACCTGCCCAGCATTACCCGTGTGCTGCTGGTTGCTCTGCAAGTGTATGAGTCAGCGGGCCTTTCTCCTGGCTTCTGGTAGCTTCAGGCATTCCTTGGCTTGTGACAACATCACACCAGTCTTCACATGGTGTTCTCCCTGTGTCTTTACATCTTCTTCCAATTTGGGAAACTTGGGTCCAAATGTCTCCTTTCCATAAGGACACTGTCATGTTGAATTAGGGCCCACCTTAATGATCTCATCTCATTTGATCATCTGCAAAACCCTATTTCCAAATAAGGTCACACTCACAGGTACTGGGGATAGGGCTTCAACATTGTTTGGGGGGACACAATTGGGGGGGACACCCAGAACACAAAGGAAAGAGAGATGGGCTCCCAGACCACACGCACCACAGCCCTCTGTGGATGGCCTGGCTGGGTTGTAGCCCAGGCCACCTGTGACGCGGGATCACCACAGTTGCTGTCCCCGCCTTGGGGCGGTTCTGTTTTTGCCCCACACCCCCTCAGAGATGCGGATGTCCTGGGTGCCTGGGCGGGACGGGCCGCTCTCGCCTGTCTCTCGGGTCACTCCACCCCTGTTGTCCTGCTGCAGGGGTCTCCCCACCGACCGGTACATGTGGAGTGATGCCACGGGGCTGCAGGAGTGCACCAAGGCCGGCACGAAGCCCCCGTCCCTGCAGTGGACCTGGGTGAGCGCTGGGCTGTGGGGTGAGCAGAGGCGGGGGTGGGGAGTCTGCCTGTACTGACCCGCCCCTCCCGCAGGTTTCTGACTGGTCCGTGGACTTCAGCGTTCCTGGGGGCACTGACCAGGAAGGGTGGCAGTACGCCAGTGACTTCCCTGCGTAAGCATCTCTCTCTCTGCCTAGGGAGGGAGCCTCCTGGGGTGGAACCCCAAGCATCAGGCACTGGGCTTGTGACCCAGCCAGGCCCTGTCCTCCCCAACACTGGTGGCCTCACCATTCTGCCAGGCTGCCCCCCTGCCCCCCAGCCTCTTGCCCCCCTGCCCCCCAGCCCTGGGTAGCTCTGGTCCCCCCAAACACCCAGGTGTGGCCGAGGAGCAGATGCTTACATGCCCACCTCAGCCAGCTGGGGAGGTGTGGAGGGGCCCAGGTGAGTTCAGGCCAGCACACCTGGCACACCTGGCTTCAGTGGGTGGGCTCAGGGATGACACCATGGCTCCCTCAGCACCTGGTAGTGTTCTTGCTGTGCCGAGCGAGGGTTCTGGGAGACCCCAACCCAGGGAGACCTTCGCTCCAGGGAGGCCTGGACCCCACAGCGACCCCCGCCCCAGGGAGGCCCTGACCCCACAGAGACCCTGGCCGGGCAGGAGGCATCTAAAGGAGGAGGATGGTGTCCTGTGATGCCTGCTGCCCTTTGAGCCCACTCCGTGGCTTACAGTGGGGCTCTGTACCCTGTAAGGGGTGGAAAAAGGATGTATGTCACTTTCCAGAAACTTCCACAGAGTGGTCTCGAATTCAGCTTCTTCCTCTTGCAGCTCATACCATGGGTACAAAACCATGAAGGATTTTGTCAGGAGAAGGTGCTGGGCCAGGTAAAGAGGGGAGCCAGGAGGGAGCTGGGGGGTGTGGCCTTGTCCATCCTGCTGGTTCCTCCAGGGCCAGACCTCCCGACCTGTGACCTCAGTCCCAGTAGAAGGAAGGGGAGGAGGGGTAGGAAGGGAAAACAGAATCAAAGTAAATGTCAGCCCAGGAAATGCCCGCAGGCTCCCAATGCTCTCCTGTTTCTGAGGCGTTTGTTTTCAAGAACAAATAAGAGAAATGTCACTGGCAGGCTCTGTTTGTGAGCAGGCCTGGCTGGGGCAGGACAGGGCGCCGAGGGCAGAGTCACCTCTCCAGGCCCTTATTCCCGCCCATTTTGGGGAAGCAGTGCCCACCTGAGTATTTTCGGGGTCCTGGCCCCAGCGCTCCCTGGGACCCAGCCGAGGCTGCCGTGGGGAGAAGGGTGGCCTCTGGGGCGAGGTCATCTTAGCTCTTGCTTCCCAGCCTCCTGCGCAGCTAGAGCAGGTGGCTCTGGGCGGTGAGCTGGGCCGAGGCTCGCAGTAGCATCGGGGTGCCCAGGTTGTGTTCTTTTCCCCCCATTCAGAAAATGCAAGCTGGTGACCAGCGGGCCCTGGCTGGAGGTGGCCCCCATCGCCCTCGGGGACGTGTCCATCATCCCCGAGAGCCCGGGCGCCAGTGGGAATGGGCACAGCATTGCGCTCTGGGCCATCAGTGACAAAGGGGACGTGCTCTGCCGCCTGGGTGTGTCCGAGCTCAACCCCGCGGTGAGCACCCTCATTCCTGCCTCCTCTGGGGACCGCCAGGCCTGCCCACCCTGCCAGCCCTTGGACCCTCTTGGGGTTGAATCCCCTCTTTGGGATTCTTCCCAAATAAGACTGTTGCTGTGGAGTCAGGGAGCTCAGGTGTCCCTGGGCCTGCCCAGGATGGTCCCTGGGGCTGGTGGACACCGCCTGTGGCCCAAGGGGGTCACTGGGCTCTGTGGGCAGTTGGAGCTGAGGATGAGGTTGGCGTGAAGAGCTGCCAGCTCCTGGGACTTGTGGGTGGGGGTGGCAGAGGCCGGGCCGGGCCGCCCTCAGTGTCCCTTCTCACCCGTCTCTAGGGCTCCTCTTGGCTGCACGTGGGCACCGATCAGCCCTTTGCCTCCATCTCCATTGGGGCCTGCTACCAGGTGTGGGCTGTGGCGAGGGACGGCTCCGCCTTCTACCGGGGCTCTGTGTCCCCCTCCCAGCCAGCTGGTGAGTGCTGCCCCTCCAGGAGGACCCCTACCCGGGGCCACCAAGCTGTGACAGGGGACACGGGGCTGGTCTGAGTGAGGTTGCATGTGCTTCTGCTTCCAGGGAAAGCTGGCTGACAGGTCCCTGAATTTTCAGTTCAGCTCAGCAAGCATTTACTGAATGTTACCTGTGGACCAGGTGCTGGGGGCCAAGCCGGGATCCCCCCTATAGGCCACGTTCCCCTCCCGCTGGGACTCACAGTGGGGGCAGTCACCACCCCATGATGGGGAACCCCTCACAGCTGCCCTTCACTGTGGTCGGCCTCCTGCCCAGGGCATCGCTGGTGTTGGGCACTTTGCACATCCTGCCCTTCAGGGGACAAGCCTGCCCAGGCCCTCCTGGGGTGGCCCTGCGCGGCCCACTCCACAGTGACTGTTCTGGCTACCTCCAGGAGTACAGGCCATGCTGGCTTGTTCTTGACTGGCTGTCTAGATGGTGTCCGGCATAGGGGAGGCCGGACAGATGCATGAGTGGTGGCTGGTGCATCGCTGCCCCCCACACAGGGCCACGGGGCTCAGGCAGTGGGTTCGCACAGCAGCCCCAAGGCTGGATCTCTACCACATGCCGGGCTTGGCACCTTCATGTCCCAGTTTGTGAGATCAGCCCATCCAGCCCCACCATCTGACACCTGCCACAGCCTCCAGAGAGCCCTGTGCCGGGTCAGCTCTGCTTGGCCCTCAGCTCATGCCAGGCCCTGTCACACATGTGTGGTCTGGCTGCTCTGGAGGCCACACCCGCCCCCACCCTGTGAGCTGCAGAGGAGGCCCCGTGCTCCCCGAGCGCTGGGGCCCCAGGTTTGGTGTTTCCCGGCTGCTGCCTGAGCCTGCCCCCCATCACAGGTGACTCTTGGTACCACATCCCATCCCCACCCAGACAGAGGCTGAAGCAGGTGTCCGTGGGGCAGACGTCCGTCTACGCCTTGGACACAAACGGCAAGTTGTTTCTGGTCCTTGGTGGTCACCAGGGGAGGCTAGGGGTTCCCTGAGCACCCCCATGGGATGAGACCCTCCTCAGCTCCCAGGTCCCTGACATGAGACCTTTATAAGCCACCATGAGAGGGCGCCACCCCGCAGTCAGCCTCTGAACAGGTTCCCTCCCCCAAGTTACCCAGGGTGGGAGGCACCAGCTGGCCCCAGGTTGTCAGCCTGCCTGGGCCTGGGGCATAGGGCACAGTACCAAGGCCGGGGTGACACTGCCCAGCGGGGCCTACACTGGGAGCGTCTTCTAGAAGGTGCCACCCAGGCCTGTGACACAGGAGCCCCATGGTAGTTTGGGGCTGCTGGAGGTCGCCCGCTTGGCGCTGGGTCCTCCCTGCCCCCGTGCCACCTGGGCCAGGGCTCTGGCCAGTTCCCTTTCCTGTTCTGTCGCTGTCACAGATGAGCAGGGCGAGGAAAGGGCAGAATTGGGCCTGGAACCCAGGTCTTTTGGTCCAGGCCCACTCTCTTTATTTGTTCAAATAATTCCTTGTCCTCAGTTTCTCATGCGTAGAAAGAGGACGACGATGCCAGCCCAGCACAGCGGGACGATTGTGCAGCTCAGGTGGAGTGGGGCGCGGGAAGGCCGAGCTGGCTCTGGCCCAGCTTCTCTCTGGCTGTGGGTCAGCGAGAGCCCCGGGAAGTGTGGGGACGCAGAGGAGTGTGGTCAGACCACCCCTGGCTTTGCATACCCGAAGTGGGTCGCCATGCTCTGGGGCCTCACGACGCGCACCCTTCTCTCCCCAGGGAACCTGTGGTATCGCCAGGGGGTCACGCCCAGCTACCCGCAGGGCTCCAGCTGGGAGCACGTGTCCAACAACGTGCGCCACGTGTCCGTGGGGCCCCTGGACCAGGTCTGGGTGCCCTGGGTGGGGGGGCAGGGACAGAGGGTGCACACTCACTCTGGGGTAAGGAACCTGGGGGGCTCCGGGTTCCCGCTCTGGTCTCCCCGCTGCTGTCCCCATGGTCCCACCGCTGCTGGGGGCCGAGCCTTGAATGGGTCTGTGTTCCAGGTCTGGGTTATCGCCAACAAAGTCCAGGGGAGCCACAGCCTGAGCCGGGGAACCGTGTGTCACCGCACGGGCGTGCAGCCCCACGAGCCCAAGGGGCAGGGCTGGGACTACGGCATCGGGGTGAGCAGGGCGGATCTGCTGGCTGGGGCTGCGTGGTCACACTGTGCATGCTCTGGGTCCCTGGGGTGGTTCCCATCAGGGTCTGTGGGAGGCCCCAGGCAGAGCTTCTAGAAGGTCTTGAGCTCCGGTGTCTGGAAGGATAGCCTCTGCCCCTTGACCCCCAGCGGCCCCGGGTGACGTAGCTCTCTTCTTCCAGGGGGGCTGGGATCACATCTCTGTCCGGGCCAATGCCACCAGGGCCCCCAGGAGCGCATCCCAGGAGACAGCCGGCGAGCGGAGCGGGGAGCAGGGTCTCCCCAGCAGGCCTGCACAGGTGGCGGGTTCCCTGCAGGGTCTCTCCCTCGGCCCCATCTGCTGCTGAGGCTGCCTCTCCTCCCCTGGAAGCAGGAGTGGTGCCCGGTTTGAAGGATCAGGGCTGATACGTGAGGCTTCTCGTGCTGAAATGTGGATCCTCAAGACTCAAGAGGGAACCTGGCCTGAGGTCATGGCCACCTTGGAGGCACTAGCTGAGAAAGCCCCGAAATGTGAAGCTTTATGGACGCCCCCGCACATGTCCCTGGTCTGTGACATGGAGTGTGGGGTGCGGGCCCCTTCCCCCTCTGCCTCCCGCCTCTCCAGCATGGGAACCTGGACCCTGGAGCCTTCCAGGAATGTCCCCCCTGGGGAAGCGGAGCCCACTGAGCCCCGGGCACCCCCAGCAGCATCAGGGCCCTGCCTCCTGCCCCTCAAAGAAAAATGGCTGTGGGGCTCAGGGCTGCATTGCCCCATGCTGTGATCATTTCTCAGAGCGGGACTCACAAATAGGGTTTAATTTCAGAAGTTAAGGAAGGAGTTGACAGGGTGGGAATAAACGCTGGAGGGAGGCATCTTCTTCCCCTGGTGGACACAGGCCCTCCTGGGGTGGACGAAGGATGGAGGGGCCGCCTGTGGCTGGGAGAAGGTGTTCAATACAGAATCACGGTCATCAGCCCTCAGCCAGCCCTTCCCCTGACCTGGTTGGGGGGTGGGAGCTCCTTTTACAGACGATCATGTTACAGTGGGGAGGGAGGGAGTGGAGATGAGAGGGATGTGGAGGCCACGTCCACCCCTCCGGGCAAGCCCAGCCAGGTCAGTGGGAAGGACCTCCCAGGCGCCGCACCACCCCCCCCCCACCGCTGCCCAAGGGGCAGCTTCTCCGCTGCGTTTATTCCTCATGGCCCCATTTGGCACAGTCTGGAGTTGGCTTCCTACAGCCACACACTTGGCTCCGGCGGGCATCAGAGCCCAAGTCCGTCTCTGCTCCTCCTGAGACAACAAACTCTCCAGCTCTCCCAGCATTCCTGTCGGGAGGGGACCGCTCTGCATTTGATCCCGTTTTGCTGTGTGGTGTTTGTCACCCAGAAGCTGACCCTAAGGAGGTCTCCTGTGAGGTCCCCTCCCGCGGGGCTTTGAGGCAGCCGGTGGTCCCGGCGTTTGCCGCGTGTTCTGGAGGCGGGAGCAGGAGGTGTGAGTCTGGGTGCAGAGCGGGGCGACGCCCTCCTGTCTGTTTATGCCTCATCGGCAGCAGGTTTTCTCCGAATGGGCATTATGGGTTTCTTCTATGGCAGCGACCTGTCGGCCTGTCATTCTGCTGTGACTCACTGTCTGAAGCTGGTTTCACATGCCCTTTCTCCAGGGCGACCGTGTCCTCACCGCTGAGCACCAACTGTTTACCTGCTCAGCATCACTGAACATCTCGATTCTTCGGACGCTTCATTCAATAAAAACTTACGCCAGAGTGTAAATGACGTGATATTTTTATTGCTACATTATGATTAAAATGCACAGTTCCTGTGCTCGAATGCATGGGGCAAAAGCAGCAATTGCCGTGAAATCGTTTATTTTTGTTTTATGACACAGCATCAGTTTCATTAGTACTTTGAAGGGGCCATTAGGAAAAATAAAAGCAAATTTGGGTCATTTAAGAAACATTTTCACCACAATTACAGCTGGTGCGCTGGCCGTTCAGTTCCAGGAAGTTTTCCCCAGACAGAAAAGTCGCAGTTCTGGTTTCTCTGCTGAGTCGATGGGGATCGCCGCCTCCAGAGCTCACTCAGGGCTGGCGTGCAGGCGGGTCAGTAGCCCCCGGCGGGGCCAGGCGGCCGGGGCTCAGAGTACGTGGGTTTCTGACTTCAGGGTCCAAGATGAGGGTTGAGGGAGCAGCCTCGCCAGTCTGTCCCCAGACCTGTCCCCTCCCCCTCCCCCACCCTATATTTAATACCCAAGCGCAGGAGTGGGACCTTTAAGGATCCTTCATGATGTGGCCATGGGGTGCGCAGATGCCCTCCAGCCGCAGGTGAAGAAGGACTGGACGTCTGGGCCCAGGTCACCCTCTGGGAAGCAAAAGGGGTGCAGGAGCCAATTTGGGACAGACAGAGCTGCGAAGGCCATCGTCCCGCAAGGTGGTGACCCACAGTAGAGGATGTATGGGGCCCATCTGTCCTGAGCTTGGAGTTAGTGGCTTGCCCTGCCCACTGACCTTCCAGAGTGGCCATCTGAGGAGCAGGCCGGGAGTGCCGGGGCCCCTACCTGAGCCGTGCTGAAGGACAGCTGGGGCAATGAGGCCGGGACCTCCTGGGGCCACCTTCCAGAGGGCCTGGCATTGGGGCCTGGGGAGGCCCGGCCAGTGTCTGACCGGCAGCTAATGACTGTTCTGAGGAGTTCCACCTGCTGCCTTCCAGGTGGCCAGAGCTGATGCCAAGCCTGGCCATGCGTTAAGAGGCTGTGGCCAGGAACTACCAGGGTAGAGAGGGTGAGGCCACGAATTGGGGAGGGCCCTGGGCTGTGGCAGCCCCACTCTCCGCCTGGCTCAGCCCCCACCCACAGCGCCCCAGGAGGGGCCTGGCCTCCAAGGGTCTCTGGGACAGGTGTGGGCACGGATGACCTGGCCCCACATGCCAGGCCAACTCCACCCTCTCCGCAGCCCGTCACTGGGGTTCCTGCCCAAGGCTGCCAAGGACCCTGTCCCCTCCCCATTTCGGCTTTGGGCAGAGGGATGAGGGAGGGGAGAGGCCAGCGGGGGCTGAGAGCAAAGTCACCAAGCCTGTTGGAGGCAGCGGGGCAGGAATGCCACAGACGGAAGCTTGGCCCGAGGCGGCAGGGACCTGCCAAGCTGCCCAGTCCCGTCTTTAAGTAGCACCGCCAGGTGGGGGAGGGGAGCTCTTGCCACCCCAGCCTCCTCCCCATAGAGAGCCCCGCAGGGCCCCCAACTCCAACCAGGACCCAAGAACATCCCAAAGTCCTGTCAGACCACCCTCTGCCAGTTATGTGACCACCCATGTCAGTGATAAATATGACAAGCAGCAGCAAATTTGGGTGGGACCCCAAGAGAGACCTGGGGACAGACCCTCTCCCCGCAGGGCCAGGGCTGGCCTGGAGACCCCTGGCCACTCAAGGGAAACAGGGCCTAGCAGCCCCTCCCGCTCCATCAGCCCAGCCCTGTCTCCAGCCCCCTCAGCACCAGACCACAGACCCTTGGACCCTGCTCAGACTCTCCACAGTCAGGAACCCCCACTAGGCAGAAGGGAGGAAAAGATCCCCTCTCCCGGACAAGGCCTCTCCCTGACAAGAATTAATGTGAGGTAATCTAACTAGGGTTTCTAACTGACAGATGCAGAACTAGAGGCTCCAACCATCTCAGCTCAGCCACACTCCCCGAGTGGCTGTGGGCTTTGCTTGCTCCGTGCCTCAGTCTACCACAAACAAGGAGGCTCCTATGCAGGTTGGAGGAAGTCCCTTCCTGGGTCTGGGCCTCAGCAGTAACTGGGGAAACTTACCAAAGAAAACCTTTTCCTGGAATCTCCCCTTGCCTCGGGAGGGAGTCGGGAGTGAAGAGAATTTAGGTACAAGGCCTGTCAACTCCTGCCTAGTCAATTACAAAGCAGGGCCTGGGCCTCTGTGGAGGCTGGGCCTCCTGCACTGCTCTTGTCCCCTGGGGGCCAGGCGGGGCTCCAGAGAGGCAGCGGAGAGTTCAGGGAAGATGGGGCCGCTGGGGCCAGGTCTGCATGGGTGTCTCCATCGGTCTGGGGCTCCCGGCACGGAGCGACCAGGGCCAGGCCACCGCTGACCCCCAGGCCGGGGTGCTAGGAGCCCTCTCGGAAGCTGTGGATCTGCGTGGAGTACTTCTGCAGGTGGCTCTCAGGCTGGGCCTCGGCGGCACCGAGCGCGCCCCCCGCTGCCTGCTGCTGCTGGTAGTGCTGGTAGAGCTTGGGGCCCGGCCCATCCAGGCCCGGAAGGCAGCCGCTGGACATGGTCAGGATGGTGGCGGTCAGCGACTTGATGTAGTTCTTGGCCAGCGTGAGAGTCTCGATCTTGGAGAGCTTCTTGTCGGCACGCACGTGCGGGATGACCTCGCGCAGCGCCTGGAAGGCGTTGTTCAGCTTGTGCATGCGCTGCCGCTCCCGCTCGTTGCTCTCCAGCCGCCGCTGGACGCTGCTCTCCCGCCGGCCACCCGGCCCCGAGGACCCCGGCCGCCTGCGTCCGCCCTCAGCCCGCGCCCCCTGCGCCCGTGCCGTCCTGCTCCGCAGACCCTTGGTCAGCTCCGGCCCAGAGCCCGGCTGGGGCCTGTCGGGGGTCTGCTCCCCTGGGGTGGCATCTGTGTCCTGCGCTGGCACCCGGCGCCTGGGGGGCCGGTTCTTGGTCTTCATGGCTCCAGGCTGGTTGTCCCAGGCGGTGGTGGCTCTGAGGGGAGGCCCTTGGAGCTGAAATCCAGAACACAGACCACCCCATGGTCACTCGGCAGGCTGGTGGACACTCAGGGCAGCTGTCCCTGGCAGCCTCTTTGCTGCCCACTGGCAGCTGACCACTTGGTGCACAGTGGCCCCAGAGTCCTTCCCATTGACACATGCATCCCTGAGCTGATTCCCCACTCCCCATGCCCCTGTTCGACCTCACACTGACCCCTCAGACCTTTCCCTGATCTGATAGCCCCCTCTCCCCCTGGGTGATGTGCCCTGACCCTGGACGTTTCTCTGGCCCCATGCCCCTCACTACCTCCCAAACACCTCCTGAGTTTAGGTGGCCTTTGACACTTCCCACAGACCACCAGAGATGGGGCCCCATCCTAGCTCAGGAAGGCCCCTCTTCCTGAGGCTGCACTGCCTCCTGTTTGCCAGGCATGGACTCCAGCCACCACACTGACGGTCCTGCCCGGCTGGACGTCACACACGCAGGGACAACACTGGGGCCAGAACCGCTGTGGATGTGGGGCAGCTGTCGGAGGTCAGCGGTCTACAGTGGCTAGAGCCTGCAAGAGCCCCCAGACCCACCACATGGATGGCCCGGCCAGGGCTCCAGGCTCGGATCCCCACCCAGTTTTCTCCCCAGACCCACTGGGTCCTGCCCGTGGGTCCTCTCCCAGCTGCCCCACCCGGACCCCCCCACTCCCGTTACCTGGCGATCCGCGGCCGCAGGGGCCAGGGCTACCCACGGGGGACAAGGACACGTCGCTTTAGCCGCCCCGGGCGGGGCCGCGGCAGCATGTAAATAAGCCCGCGGGGCGTGGCCGGGGCGGGGCCCGTGTCTGTGTGTCCCCCGCCCCGCAGCAGCGGGGGGCGGGGGCGCACCTGCAGGCGAGGGGCCGGCCTCGGCCCACTCTCCGCCCGGTGCCGCCTCCGCGACTGCGGAGCCCCGTCCCCGAGCCCGTTCCGCGGGGTGGGAGACCGAGGCCTCTCTGAGAGCCGGTCGGCGCAGGGGAAGCCCCGGGACCGCATCTGGCCGCCGCACCTGGCCTTGGGGTTAAGGCTCAGAACACAGAGCCCAAGTCAGAATTCGTGGAAAAGCTGTTTTGCGATAATACTGGTTTCTCAAAGGGGCTGCGGCCACACCCCTGAAGAGCAGTAGCCCAGGTACCCCCGCGCCCTCACCCCAAGTTTCGGGCGGACCCTGCAGCACCGGGGGCTCTGGGACGCCCCCACCACGGCGCCCGCCCGCGCCGGTCCAGGCGCGAGTGGGCGGAGCCCTGGCCCGCGGGGCACCTGGTCGGCCGCCTGCGTGCAGGTCACCGGGAAATAACTGGTCATGGGTTTTAGGAGGTCTCCAGGGGCGGGAGGCAGACAGCTTGGGCTCAACACCGGCTGCCACCCACTTGCTTTACTTACTCGCCTCCCTGCCTCAGTTTCCTCACCTTTTGCAGGTGCATTAAAAGGTGTTGAAAGCAGCAGCTGGCGCAGAGGTTTCAGGGTTGATGGGGGCAGCTGCGTGCAGTGAGTTCCCGCGGTCGCACAACTGCCGGCGCTCCCACCCACCTGTGTCCGCAGGACAAGGCTCAGGCTGTCCTCAAATTTCCTCCACACCACCACTGGCTGCCTGTGTCAGGTCTCCAGATGGGGGTTCACAGGTCTCCTCCACCTACTCGCTGAGGTCACACCGGAGGGGGTATAAGAGGTGGGGCGAGGCCTCGGGTTAGGAGGCTGTTACCGTGCTCTCGGCAGCTGGGACGGGGGAACAAGGACGGGGCATGGGGGACGCCCAGGTCCACGCGGGGCACAGAAAGTCTGGTTTTGAGCTGATTAGCCTCCCCGCTTAGAGCTCGTTAGAGGCTGGACCTCAGAAACTACAATGCTTCTGAAATTCATCAGTTAGTGCCAAGGCTTCCAATTACAGATACATTTAAGGCAGCACAAGCACTACATAGAAGTTTCATTTTCCAGTGCTTCTCCAACCCTTTGTGTTCTCAGAAGTGTGGGGATTTACATCTGTCATGGAAAAGGGCATCCAATATCTAGAGACCAGGACAGTGAGCGACCTAGGGGCTGCAGGCTGCAGGCACCCACGGGAGGGCAGTGCCTGGCCACCCACCCCAGGTCCTGCACAGTGGAAAAAACACGAAATAAACTCAGCAACAGAGTTTATAAATATATAACTATATTTATTTTGAATATTAAATAGTTTTTAAATTACAAGCAATTTATTGAATCACACTATGCATCAATATACAGTAAAAATCTTACAGTTTAAAAATGTACACAATTTAAACTGAAAGTTCATTAACTGTTATATCGCCGTGAACCTCTTCCGACTGTGTTAAAGCACAACAGGGACACCTCGTAGGGGTGGCCGCCCCTGGGGTCCTCATCTGCGGACGGAATTAGAGAGCGGGTGCACACACCGCTCCATCACCTACTGGAGCTCTAGCTGCGCCTGTTCCGACTTGAACAGTTAAACGTGTTCGAGCCGTTTAAATAACAGGTTGTTGGTGATCAATACTGTCAACACATCTGTAAGAATTTTATATACTAAAGAGAGTTTTCTTTTTAATAGCCAAAACTGGAGCCGACCTCATTACTACGTAGGAATATTGTTTTGGGGATTTACATCTGAAGTAACTGTGTGCACGCAGTCTTATTTAAGGCTACTTCTCTTAAGGCTAACATTCTGAAGCCCCTATGACAGACGCCCAACATCTGGAGCCTAACACTTGGTTCACTTCTGGAATCTTCAGGTGATGGGCTGAGCAGAGTAAAGCCAGCAGCTGCCTCCCTTGCTCCCAGGCCTTCAGGACAGACATGCAGTAAGTCATCAACCCCACAAATACCCTATGGAAAATACTAACAAAAGGAAGAGGTTTTGAAAGGAGTTTTACGGCAGCAAGACATACAAAGACTCTTCTTAGATAAACCCATTTCTATAGAAACAATCACCTGTACATTTAAAAACAGAATGAAAGCTCTGTTTGCAATTCAACTCCACTGAGCTTCCTCGCCCTTAAGATGAACGGCTTCTCACCCAGGCGCACAGTCTGTTCACAAGGATTTGGGGAGCACTTTTTCTACATTTCTCTTTCTGGCTAATCACAGGGTCATTTGATAACACAAATTAACATCTAGCTAGGAAGGAAATGAAGGTTTGATTATTTCTATTACAGGATTTAAAATACGTAAATTCCACCAAAGTAAGACTAATTAAAATCTGACAGATTCCAAAGAGGCCAAGAAATATTGTGAACCAGGTATTATAAACCTCACCCATACTATCTAGAGAATTCCACTGACTTATTTCACTGCATAACTTATTAGAACAAGTATGGTTTGAAAACCCACCACTGATAACTGAGTAAAAAAAACAAACAGCAAAGCACATGCTGACATTTTAAAAATAGGCTGAAAATTTTAATCTACATAATTTATTTCCTGTGTATTGCTTGAGATTTCAAAAGAACATGTTACCTCACATGTTTATTATAAATATAAAATCTTCCCTACCATGCATCATCACAATAATATCTACTACCCCAACTCACCCCCCCCCAACTCAATGTATAAAAGGCTTTTTTTGGCAATTATGACAGTGATATAGACAAAATAAATTAAAATGGGAATTATGTTGTTAAAATCTCCTTAATCATAGTGAAAAATGTACAGCCCCAAAATATCAATAAATTTATCCCAGGCTGTATAAGAAGACTATATATTCTATGGATTTGCTTGATTTTAGTCATTAAATCTGAACTCCTTAAACCTATAATGTGAAAAAAACAGTATAACTGCCTTTCATTTCTCTCAACCAAGACTGGTAGTTAGATGAAAAATTCAGAAAATTCAGGAAGTCTCCATAGCAAGAAATTCGGAGTTATCACAATTTTGGCAAAATCACCTTCTCACGCGCTGTTCACTTTTGTGTTCAACATGCCCATCACCAGGTCCAGCGCGCTCTGGCAGCGTTCTCCGGCAGTGCTCCTCGCTCACCCCGAGTGGAGGGTAAAAGGGGCTCTTTCTCCATTCTCAATTTTCTTGCTCTGGAAAGTTATTGCTAGTGTAAAAAGTGAGTGGGGTGAACCAGAATTGATAAGAAAGGTCATAAGTTACTATATAAACTCTAGCCAGGATACACATTTGCACCTCACACTAGGACCTGGTGCCTGTGACTTACATCACGCGGCCCCAGCCCTGGCCTGGAGTCGTCCTAGTGTTCCGCTGGAGTCAGGAAGGCGTATCAGCACCGGAAAACACCTGGGGCGAGAGGCCAGCACGTGGGGACTGCAGACCTGAGGCCCTACCTGGTGCACACGGCTTCCTGATGACACACTGGGCCTCCCTCAGCACAGCGCCGCTCCGCTGCTCCAGCTCCTGGAAACTTCCTGACATCAAAGCAGAACTCAAGAACTGCAGAATGAGGTCAGCTTTTTTATTATGAACACCCGATTCCAGCCAACATTATGAGGTTTCACTGGACACGCTCGGTCCCTTTCAAAGCAAGGGGAGAACTTGGTGCTTAATGCAGGAGGGAAGGATGAGCACAGATGAGCCCTGGGCAAGTGTTTGGATGCGATGGCTACTCGGGGCCACTCAAGGTCCCGACCGGGAGGATGTGCCAGCTGCAGAGGCTTCGCCATTGTCCCTTGTCCCTCCTCACAGATGTAGGGATGTAGTGTACGTCCTTGGTTACAGAGACTAGCCACACCTGGACGTGATATGACTCAAAGTGGTTCTGAGGGGTAACTTCAGCTCTGCAGGTTATCAGAAGTTACCTCTGCAGGTAACTTCAGCTGTTCTGTACAGCTGAAGCATACAGAAGAATGAACTCAAACTGCCCTTGGCTACCAGAGCCCTCTGTGGAGCAGCTTCTTCCTCGGAGTTCTCCACCTTCCCGACAGAAGGAGTCACAAGGACACTGAAGCCATAGCAGTCTGCGCTTCTAAAATCATGCAGAAGAGCCGGCTTTGAGGGGAAGTGACCCGGGGGCCACACTCTGTTTGCAGATCACTCGACCTGCCACATGAGAATGCAGCAGGGAGGAAGCCGCTTGGCTTCCCAGGGAGAGGGGTTGGGAGACCTGGACATCCTAACTAGCAGCTGAGTTCTGGGATGCACCACCTGTTGATTTTTACCAAAAGGGCCTGAAAAAATTGGGGGGCGGGTGGGAGGATGATATAGATGGGCTGCAAGACCCTTCAGCTCCTCAGGGAAGCCTCGTTTGCAGCAGGGAAACCACCTTATGGAGAAGAGACAAAAATGTGTTTCATTCAATCAACAAAACAGAGCAGTCTTTTTGGACTCATCAAAAATATTTCCTATAAGAACATAAAACACTAACATTCAGAATCATCTATCACGTACGAAAGAGTACCATATGTACAATTCCAACAATTCTAAAGACAGCGTAATGCTCAAAATATTTAAGCTTTACAAGTACCATGCAGAGCAAACTATAAAACAAAAAAAAAATCAAACTAGTGGATAGCACCAGCTTGACCTGCCTTATTTTCCTTGAATAATTTAAGATTCTGTACAATATCAGGGACTCTTAGAACATTTATCCACAGTGCAATTACAGAAAGCAATTAGTGATTTCTTTAAAAATAATAAATATGGCTCACTGGTGCCAATTCCCATCATGCGTCCTCCGGGCCCGTGCACAGACGGGATGCACAGGTGTGGACGCAGAGAACACCCCACGTGGAAACCAGAAACAACCCGAGCCTACAGTTCCCCACAGACCGGAGCAGGGTCGGCGCTCCCCAAGGACCACCAGAGCACGAGCACTTGCAGTGGGTGAGAGCGGCCGCAGGGCGCAGCTGCGAGGGCAGCACACTGCGCTAGATGAGACCACGCCTCCACAGCCAGGCTTCCCGCCGTGGGCTGGGAGCACAGAGCCCAGCACAGGCTCCCTTTCGCCTCCTGAGTCTTTCTCCCTGTCCTGTTTCAGCAGATGTGGAGTGGATGTCGATGCTCGCTGGCAGCACAGGAACCCCGCCCTGGGGGAGCAGCCTGGGACCTGAGAGTGCGTCAGCAGCCACCTAATCTTTTTCTCCATCTTCGCTGCTTCCTATTTAGGAGAGAGCAAGCAAAGCTGGGTTTTTAAAATGACCATCACAGATAAAAATAGTCTGGACAGCTTCTGATCTGCACTGCAGAAAAGGGAACTGAAGCTGGAAGTGTGGCTCTCCACCACCTGCCCCGGCCGCATATTTTCTTCCTGTAACAGTCGCACCTGCCAGACTCTCTCGCAAACACATCTGCGCAGCTCACACGCTGGGTCAATGTCAGTGTTTAGGGCACAGGAGAAAATCAGCTGATCTCCACACATCTGCCCTCTGACAGATCATTAGGTAATGGCATTATCTAATCGGCACAATTAAACATAGCACAAACACAAATAAAAGCTCTTTATATTTCATAGTTATTATTTGATCTGCAAACTTCAAATCAAAAACTGTACCCATTAACATTTATGTTCCAATCTAGTTATGGGGGAAAAAAAGGATCCACATGTTCAGATAATACTACTTCAAATGTGCCCTGCCCATTACTTCCCACCCAGGCCTTCTGGTATCACACGAAGACCAAGACTTAATGGCAAAATCAACATTCCCGGGAAAGAGCCAGAGGGCATTTGGGCTCAATCCCAAATCACAGGCCAGGTGTTCTTAAGAGCATACGCTTTCTCAAGAGCTGCTTCTCTCTGGGGGAAGCAGAGATGAGGGGTGCTAATAGCAAAAGGGGAAAAAAGGAGAAAAGAAGGTGGCGCACACCCGTGGCAAGTTCTAGACCCATGCCACGCCGCCACGCTGCTCACCTGCCTCCACCTGGGCCACCCAGCCCAGCAGGGCAGAGGGGGCTGGAGGGACAGAGGCCTAAAAGTGGAGGATGTGGCCCCGAAAGCACACTGTCAAGACTGTGAGAGTTTTGTAAGGAATTTTTTATAATCTTCTCAGCAAATACCAGGAAAGCAGATAAACATGCACTCAAGTCCAGTGGGGAAGGTCTCCCAGGCTGACACCACCCTCAGCACACACCCTCTCACCTCCTTGCTCGATGTCCGAGTCAGTCAGGTGTGTGAGAGAAAAGCTGGCGATGTTGGCAGGAGAGATGGAGAATCTGGAATATGGTGATGCGTGGGGCCAGCTCTGCTCCACACTCCGGGGTGGCGGTGGAGGAGAAAAGTACTTTGATGTCTGAAGAGAAGGCTTGGAACTAAGAAGGTTACTTGTTGTCTTTGACATAAAAGGGTCTGGGGAGAAGTCATCATCCCATTCAAAGCCTCCACCTACAAGTAAAAAATAAAAAATAATTCTCCTTTTATCATTTCATGATAAAGAATAGAGAGGAGAGTGCAAACATACAGGTGTGCTCTGCAGATCAACAAACACCGACTTGGGCCTGACAGATGGCAGAGCTGCTCCCTGTGTGTCACAAGGGGATCATTTAAGGCAATATGTGACGTTATCCTCAAAAAGTTTACATTATGCACAATGCACGCTTTTTAGTTTCTTTTTAAACCCATCATTGAAGTGAAATACCTTCTTCGTCAGTTGAACTTTCGGAATTGATACACCTGCTCAGGTAGGGGGAATCTGACGAAGGTGCCGGGCTGCTCAACTCAGGGCCATGTGCCTCTCCTCCGCAGCGTCCCAGCTCTTTGGTTGGGGTCTCCTGAAAAGCCAAACAGAAACTCCCATCAGCAAACGCCTGCTCACAGGAACCCACTGGGGTATGCATCACAGGCCGCAGTGCAGCTGACTGATCAGCTATGAAATGTTCATCTTCAAGCAGGGTGGTTCTGGTCTGGGGAAGGTGGAACAGGAACACACAGCCCTGTCTCTCCCACTGAGTGCAGCTGTGAACCTGGGCAGAATGCACGAAGCGGCTCTCTGAGGCCTCTGAGAAGCAAACAGTAGCAGGCAGGTTGGGGAAGAACACTGGAATTCAAAGTACACAAAACCAGCAGTGAATGTGCTGCCCGCCCCCACCCCCTCATAGCTCCTGGCCTGGACTCAACATAGCCCAAAATCCAAAGTGGGCACTGGCGTGGACAGAGAGAGCTCCAGAAGCCCTTTGATTCTAGTTCTAGACGCAGGAAGGGGGTCTGATGCTCAGAGAGAGGGTAGGAAATTCCAGATTTTTTTCTTTTTTCTCCTCTGTTCTCTCACCCCCAGCTCCAAGATCCCAGGGCGGCAGGTGCCTATAATTCTGAGCGTGGTAAACATCCTCTCACCTGGAAGAGCTGTGATCCCAAGACAGTGAGGAGAATCCCCACTGCTTTTTCCCTTTCTGTCCTGCACAGATACAGGAAGCATGCAGCGTAGTGTGCTAACGAAAGTCCCAGCTTTCTGGCTGGAGGACTGAAAAGGGAAGGCTGAAGACATTGGAAAGTACCAGGAACACCAGGGAGTGGGAGAAGCTCAGGAAAGCGACCCCACAAAGCTGTTAATGAACTCTCGGCTTACCTCTGGGCTGTGCATGGTAGACTCTGAACAGCACACCGAAGCTTTGAGAACTGAACTGTGGGGGAGACCACTGCCACGATCCAGTCTGGCCAGCGGGTGGCACATGCACTGGACAGGTTCAAACAGTACAGCAAAGGCTGGAAAGGGGAACCCCAACCCACAGAAGACTGGCTGGAACTTGTGACCTGAACCCAACCAGGTCAATGCCCGCTAAGATAAAAATATCAACATTCTCCATAGGATCTAAACAAAACACACAGCATTGTATAACATATTAACGACACAGTCTAAAATTACTCAGCATACACAGAATCAGAAAAACCTCAATTCATGGGGAAAAGCCAATCAACAGAGGTCAATGCCACTATAACAGAGATGTTGGAATTATCTGAGAAAGACTAACATAAAAATGTTCCAGGGGCCGGCCCGGTGGCACAAGCGGTTAAGTGTGCGCGCTCCGCTGCGGCGGCCCGGGGTTCGCTGGTTCGGATCCCGGGCGCGCACCGACGCACTGCTTGGCAAGCCATGCTGTGCCGGCGTCCCATATAAAGTGGAGGAAGATGGGCACAGATGTTAGCCCAGGGCCGTCTTCCTCAGCAAAAAAAGAGGAGGATTGGTGGATGTTAGCTCAGGGCTGATCTCCTCACCAAAAAAAAAAAAAAAAAAAAAAAGTTCCAACAAGTAACAGAGAACACTAACATTTAGAGAACAATCCACCCACCAAAAGCAAAATACACATTCTTTCAGGTGTACATGGAACATTCACCAAAATAGACGAAATCCTGGCTGTAAAACAAATCTTAACAAGTTTAAAGGAACTGAAACCATACAAAATATATCCTCTGGCCATAATGGAATTAGAAATCAACAATAGAAAGAAACAAGAAAATCTCCAACCCTTGGAAATTAAACAACATATTTATAAATAATCATGGGTCAAAGAGGAAGTCTCAAGGAAAATTAGAAAATATTTTGAACTGAATGAAAATACAACACATTAAAATTTGTGGGATACAGCTAAAGTAGTACATAGAAGGAAATTTACAGCATTAAATGCTAATACTAGAAAGACGAAAGGTCTCAAAACCTAAGCTTCTACCTTAAGAGTCTCGAAAAAGAGCAAAATAAATCCAAAGCAAGCAGAAGGAAAGAAATGATAAAGACAAGGCAGAAATCAATAAAATTGAAAAGAAAACAACCAAGGAAAAAAAAATCCACGAAACCAAAAGCAGTTCTTTGAAAAGATCAATAATCTACACAATCTCTTCCAAAAAGAGGAGGAAATACTTCCCAACTTATTATGAGACCAGCGTTACCTTGATACCAAAGCCAAAGTCAGTGCCAAAAACAAAAAAACTCAAATTAGCCAAACACCCCCAAAACTACAGAACAGCATACCTCATGAATACAGGCACAAAAATCCTCAACAACAAATCAGCGCATCAAATCCAGCAACATGTAACAATAAAATCTCACAACCAAGTGGGCTTTATTCCAGGAAGGCAAGGCTGATTCAATACCTGAAAACCAATGTAATCTACCATATTAACATATTAACAGAAGAAGAACCACATGTTCCTATTAACTGATGTATAAAATGCATTTGACAAAATTCAACACTCATTCAGGATTAAAAACTCTCTCAAACTAAGAACACAAGAAAACTTTCTTAACTTGATAAATAGCATCTACAAAAAAAAAACCTACATCATAATCAATGGTCAAAGACTGAATGTTTTTCTTCTAAGATCATGTTCAAAGCCAGAATGTCTCCTCTTACTACTCCTATTCAACACTGTATTGGAAGTCCTAGCTAGTGCAATAAGGTAAGAAAAAGAAATAAAAGAGATATAGATTGGAAAGGAAGAAATAAACCTGTCCCTACTTGCAGACAATATGATTGTTTGCGTAGAAAATCACAAGGAATTTGCAAAAAACAAAACCAACAAACTCCTAGAACTAAAGAAAGCATATAGGTCAACACACAAAAATCAATCGCATTTTATATACTGGTAAGGAACAAATGGAAACCAAAATTTCAAAATTAGCTTTTCCAACATAATAGCTTCTCACGAAATGAACTATGTACAAATCTAACAAAGCATGTAGAGGATCTGTAAGCTGAAACCTACAAAACACAAAGAAGAACTAAATAAATGGAGAGACATACCAAGTTCATGAATTGGAAGACTCAACATAGTAAAGATGTCAATTATCCCCAAATTAATCTATAGATTTTATGCAATTCCCACCAAAATCCCAGTAGGATTTTTTTGTAGATACAGACAAGATGATTCTAAAACTTATATGGAAAATTAAAGGAACTATGAAAGCCAAAACAATTTTGAAAAGGAAGAAAAAAGATGAGGAATCACACTCCCCAATTTTAAGACTTACTATAAAGCTATGGTAATCTCCAAGAGTGAGGTATTGGCAAAGGAGTAAATACACAGATCAATGAAACAGAACAAAAAGCCCAGAAACAGACCCATACAAGTACAGCCCTTTAATTTCTGACAAAGGTACAAAGGCAATTCAATGGATAGGGGATAGTCTTTTCAACAGTGTGCTGGAACAACTGGATATACAACCAAATGCAAAATAAATGAAGCCCAAGCTAAAACTTACACAAAAATTAACTGAAAATGTATAAAAGATCTAAATGAAGAACATAAAACTTTTAAAGAAAATATTTGGGATCTAGGGCTTAGTGAAGAGTTCTTATACATGACACCAAAAGCATGATCCATAAAAGAAAAAAATCGATGAACTGGAATCCATCAAAATTCAAAACTTTTGCTCTGTGAAAGACAACCTACAGACTGGGAGAAATATTTCCAAACCATATATCTGATGAAAGATTCACATCTAGAATTTATAAAGAACTCTCAAAACTCAAAGGTAAAAACACAGAGAATCCAATTAGAAAATCGGCCAAAGAAGAGACAGTTCACTGAAGAGGACATACGGGTGGCAAATAAAGACATGAAAAGACGTGCAAACATATCACTAGCCAATAGGGAAATGAGGTATCACTTCACACCTATCAGAAAAGCTAAAATAAAAAATAATGACAACACCAAATGCTGGCAAGGATGCAGACAAACTGGATTTCTCATTACCTTGCTGGTGGGAATGTAAAATGGTACAGCCACTCTGGAAAACAGTTTGTCATTTTGTTTAAAAACTAAACACACACTTAACACACAACCCAGCAATCACAGTCCTGGGCACTTTCCCCAGAAAAATAAAAATTTGTGTCCACACAAAAACCTGTACACAATTGTTCAAAGCAGCTTTATCTGTAATAGCCCCAAAGTGGAAAAACCAAAATGTTCTTCAATGAGTGAATGGTTAAACAAACTTTTTCATCCATACCATGGAATACTGTTCAGTGATAAAAAGGAAGGAACTACTGGTACATGCGACAACTTGGATGGATCTCAAAGGAATTACATGCTGAGTGAAAAAAGCCAGCCTCAAAAGGTTATATGCCGTGTGAGTCCATTTATATGATATTCTCCAAAAGACAAACCCAGAATGACTGAGACCACATCAGTGTTGCTAGGGATCAGGGGTGGGGGGTGGGGGGACTAGGAGGGAGGCACAGGGCGTTTTCTGGGGTGAGGGAACTGTTCTGCATCACAATTGTGGGAATGGTTACATAAACGTTAAAATTTATAGACCTGTACACCAAGAAAGGGTCAATTTTACTGTTAATTTAAAAAATAAAATTAAAAAATAATAAAAACAACTGGTGTAAATGCTGGCCAACAGATGAATGAATAAACAAAATGTAACACATCCACATAGTGGAATGCTACTCAGTAATGAAAACATGAAATATGGATGCACCTCAAAAGCATTATGCTGAGCGAGACTCCAGACATGTAAGACTACACACTGTATGATCCCACCACTTATACGAATTCTAGAAAAGGCAAAACTACAGGGACAGAAAGCAGAACAGTGGTTGCCAGGGGGAGGGGACTGACAACAAAGGAGACTGAGGAACTCTGTGGGGTGATGGAAGTGTTTTGTATCATGACTGTGGTGGGGATAGGGATGGGGAAATGAGCCCTTAGTTTCGTGTGTGTGTGTGTGTGTGTGTGTGTGTGTCTAAGATTTTAAGCAGCAGGAACTATAGACAAGTTTAGTTTTCTTGAGTGTTTTTTGTTCTTCAAATTGAAAAAAAAATCTTGCCCAAGAAAGTATTTTTGCCTTATACTCATTTTATATTCTTTCAGGAAAATATCCTTGTAAATGGAAATAAACTAAAAAGAAAAGAAAAAAGCAGCACACAGGAGCCCAGGTAGAGGCCACCTCTTGCCACTCATCTGCCCAGGGACAGGAGGTCCACATCAGTGAAGCCTAGGCACATTTATTCCTCACAAGCTCTGGGGTCCCCTGGCTCTAAGACTGTGACCCGGGAGGTAGCCTCATGGCATGGGCCTGAGCACCACTCTGCATGGCTCCAAGGCCACACTGCTGAGCCCTGGCCCTGTCCTGACAGGGAATGACCAGGGCTGAGATGAACTGGACTGAGCTCAAATCTTGTTTGTCCTGCAACCATCTGATCAGGCTGGAAGGCAACCATGTGTCATGTTAACTGCAAATAAGTGTCCTCATCCACTGTTTCGGCCTCGAGAATACTGTGCGTCCAGGAAGGACCACACGTGAGCTGAGAGTCTGACACCCGCCAGGCACGTTTAAGGGCCCATGTGGGAGGCTGCTGGGCTCAGCGGTGAAAAGCTGGGTGCTGGAGCCAGGAGACCTGGGCTGTACTCCTGCACAAGGTGCCAACTTTGCTGAGCCTCAGGGTCTTCTCCGTGAAGATGGGTGACAACCACTCCTGCATGGGGAAGCTAAACGAGAGCCTGTGCGTAAGGTGCCGGCACCCAGACTGCTAACTTGCTGGGCCATGATTTCACAGGAACGTTGCTTTACATATAGTGAGTGTGCGCTAAGCATCTATTGAACTAACAAATAGAGAAATGACCAAGACACAATGCTGCCACAACCCATGAACACTCAGTTAAAAGTCTGGAGTTAAGATACTTGGCTTAAACACTAAACTACTTCAAAACCAGCTCATTAAGCTGCAAAGTCAGAGCAGGAAACAATCTATCAATCATAGTCTGAGACGGCTGGCAGCTGTTGCTCTAGGCAAACTGCATGGGATGCAGGAGAAAAGCACCTGTAGATCATCAGAATGATTTTCAGGATTTTATTGGGGCCTGCACCCACTTTCCGACTTTCTCTAACCCCCTTCTCAAATCTCACCTATGTTAAGAGTGACTTACATTTGGTTCCTGTGTCTCCATACCCATAGCCAGCATGCCCTTTCTAAGTCTTCATCTTTTGCAATCCTGTCCTGTCTTCTGAAGCCAGCAAAACATAACACCCCTATAAAGACCTCCACCTGGGTCCAGCTCCATTGTAGCCCAGGGAGCTTCCTCCACACACTGCCTTCCACTGACTTTTTTTGTGTGTGTGAGGAAGATCAGCCCTGAGCTAACATCCATGCCAATCCTCCTCTTTTTTTGCTGAGGAAGACCGGCCCTGAGCTAACATCTATTGCCAATCCTCCTCCTTTTTTTCCCTTTTTCTCCCCAAGGCCCCAGTAGATAGTTGTATGTCATAGTTGCACATCCTTCTAGTTGCTGTCTGTGGGACGCCGCCTCAGCATGGCCGGACAAGCGGTGCGTCGGTGTGCGCCCAGGATCCAAACCCAGGCCGCCAGCAGCGGAGCCCGCGCACTTAACCGCTAAGCCACGGGGCCGGCCCCCTGCCTTCCACTGACTTGTGTCCATCTCACTGCTCCAACAAGACCCCCAGACAGCTTCCCTAGCCCCCCTCCCACACTGCTCACAGAACGCAGTTTCTACTTCTGTCCCACTTACAGATCGCCCCAGTCAGTGGTGAAATGTGACTACAATTCAAGTTCACAGAGACAGTGAAGAAAGGGATATCTGAATTGGAATGTACTGATAACAAAACACAACACCTGGGGCCAGATGATCCCTTCTCTCCCACTCTCAGTAGAGAATGGCATACTCGTTTCCTAGGCTCCCTGAGCTTACAATTTCTGAAGCTGGGGTGTGTGTAAGCCTCCTGGCCCCTCTCACAGATTTAATAAATTGTGGTTGAGTCCAGGAGTCTAACTTTTTCTTTTTTTTCAAACACCTACCCACCTCTACCCTCCCCCCAGCATGTGCTGTAGTTCAAATGTGGTGGTTTAATGATTTTTTGAGCAACATCACAAAAACAGAACACACAGAAACAACAAAGCACACAGTAACAAGCAATTGAGAGAAGACCCAGCCTGGAGGGAGGAGGCAGAGTAGCACCTAGGATCTCTGCAGGTGTGGGCACAGAGTCTGAAGAGCAGAGCCAAGAGGCATGATGCTGACCAAGAGGCTGAGACACCAAGGTCTCGGGTCCGATGACCAATACAAAGCAAGGGCAAGCAGCTTTAAGGAGACACCTTCTGGAATGGGAAGGGATCCCAGTCAGACATGTCTGTAACTGAGCCTCACTTAAAAGCCAGCTGATTCAAGAAGCAAATTCAAGGGCTACAAAGACTAGCCAACAGACTACATTTCAAACAAAATTAAAAAAAAAATCTTTAATTAAAAATATTGAATTATAGGCTGCTTCATTTTTAAAGAAGCTGAAAGTGTGAGCCGAATGAGCGGTGTGCAGCAGGCAGCCTGCTCCACAGCGGGGGAGGAGGGCAGGGCAGGGGCCCGCTCCAGCAGCAGGGCCACAGACTCTGTCATCACTGTCCTGGTCCCCACTGCACAGATACTGCCACTGGTTGGTGTCTCCAGTGCTACGTGTGAGCCACGGACTGTTGCAGTTTGTACCTGCATGCTGGGTATTACTGCCAATTGTCAGATTATAAAAATTTGGTCTATAAAGGGTAACTAATTTCAATAGGACTCTGCCAGGAGACCCAGGAAGAGCACCCAGGTCTCCTTCCCTTAACTTAAAAGGAATTCACTCTGCAAAGCGCATCTCTGCATATTCTTGGAACTGTAACTATAACCAACCCCGAATTCCTTCTTTTGAGTAATCACAAAACAATCTGTGGCTTCAAAGCAATCAGAAAAACAGAGCACACTCAATTTCCTAATGCATTTCGGAATTCTCTAATATGACGATTTGGAGGTAACAGATACCTGGTCAAACAGACAGACTGTGACATCATCAAAAAACGTCACCGCCTTCTTCTCTTTCTTCCAGTCATCTGGTAGCTGGTCAATGGCAACAGCAGCCGAGGGTTTCAACAGGCTCCGCAAGTGCCTCCCATCCTCATTGCTGAGGATCACAGGGACGGGGTGCTCGGTTTCATCTTCTGACTCGGAGCTGAGGCTGTGCAGGTTGAATGCTCGCAGGTCCTCGTCAGAGTCGTCACTGTTTTCGTCCTCCTCGTCTGCATCGATTCCATCCTCGGAGAGGTCGAGCAGCCCCGACACACCAAGTTTCCCCAAGTATTTCCCTTCGATATCTGGCTCCTTCAGCTTGGGGCTCTCGGAGTGGCTGCCTGAGGACTTATCCACCATCAAGGCCGATGGGCTGCTGGAGCGGAGGGTGGAACTTGCAAACGCAAGGAGTTCGTTAGTGTTGGTTCCAGTGGAGGCAAGCGTGCAGGGCTGCTCTTCGTGGGCCTCAAAGTCATCACCACTGCTCAGCTCTGAGTTCAACAGACTCAGGGGACTGCCAGCCTCGTCCTCAGGATGCATTTGTTTGGAAATGTCGGTCAGTGCTGGTTCTGACGTTTCTTTTGATTCCAGGTGACTGGACTTTTGCAAAGCAGATAGACAACTTTGGTCTGGCTGTCTATTTTTGGTTTCCAGGCAACTGTCCTTGTCGCCAGGACTTTGCTCTGGGATGACTGGCTCAGGCAAGGGCTGATCTGCTACGATTGCCAAGGCCAACACTGAGGTTCCTGGGACCCCCTCTGACTTCTTATCAGGCTCAGAATCATTATCTGAGAAGTAGGCAGAGTCTCTGTGTGAGCTCTGGGAACCAGGTGTAAAAGTCTGCGAGGTCACTTCTGTCCCTCTGTGGCCATCAGCTGTGTCTGAGATGACGATGACAGGGTTGGGAGGCAACCCGCCACGACCGCTGTCGCCTGCTGTGGTCGCCTCAGAGGCTGAGGTGCCATCGGGAGCAGGGTGCAGAGTCCATTCAGGGGACTCCAAGTTCTCTGTCTCGTAGCCACTGTCTGCAGGCTTATCGGGGGGCAAGAGTTTCTGAGGTGTGTGAGAACCTAAAGAACCCAGTAAAACTTCATGGACATCCACCGAATCCAGAGAGTCTGGGGTCTCCACAGACTGTTCTGATGTTGGAATGGGTGTTGACAAGCTGTCTTCTAAAAGGCTGTCTTGACTGGTAGAATCCGAGGAAAAGGCAGACGCCAAGCCCATGTCTTTTGTAGCATTTTTATAATTCAGCTGGTTCAAAGTCTCCACAGCCTCCAAGTTTTTCTCCAGCAGACTATGACTACGATGGTCTTCAGAAAGCAGTTGATTTTGTAAGTTCTGTCTCAATTCTGGAAGACTACTCCCTATACTCACCTTACTGGCAAAAACGTCGTCAACAAGAACTGAGTCACTTTTGGGTAGTCTCAAGGCCTCCTCATTTTGGTGAGTCAAGTCATGGGACCTATCACCAACTGATGTCCTGGCATCAGTCAAGGGAGTTTCAACGGGGACAGTCACAGAGTCTGGACTGAGTTCTTGGCAGAGAAAGTCTTCATGGATACTGACATCTAAACACGTGGGTTTGGTTTCTCCCTGCTTTGGGAACGTATCTGGAGGTACACTATGAGGTGTTCCTTCTGTTTCAAGTGAGGTAGGAGGTACCTGCACTTCCGGGGAAGACTGCAATGAGAGGTTTGAAGTGTTGTCCACGGGCATGACACCTGCATCTTTCCCCTTTGCACTCATGTTCTCCTGCAACAGAGAAAAGCCTGGTTTATTTTCAGCAAACTTAAGCTCAGTATCTAAAGAGTTTCTATGTGGAGTTTCTAATATAGTTTCAGTAAAACCGGCATTTTTAAGTTCTATTTGAAGATCATTTATATGTTCTTTGCTAGACAATGAGTCTTTTAGTAAGTTTTTCTCTTGAAGAAATAAAAAGTTTTCTGATAATTCTTGAATATTCAGCGGATCAAAATTATCTTGGTGCATAAGGTTTTCTGATAAGCCAAGAGGCTCATAGGCAAAAAGCTTATGGGGCTTTTCCTTCTCAAAGTGGCATGTTACTACTGACTCTTCGGGGTCATCCAAAGTGGAACGTAAAGTGGTTGGCTTAAAGTCAGTCTGAACTCCATTTAGTTCCATTAAGTCAAATATTTTTTGGTGACTGGGCAAATCCTCTGATTTGTCAAGATCATTAAATATATTGTTGAAAGGGCTCTCAGGGCCCGTGGTAACATGTGCGTCCTCAGGTATGCTGGAGTCTTTGGGGTCTGTACTGCTTTGGAAGAAATCCTCATCTGTACTGGACTCCTCAAATTCAAGATTCCTCAGTGTCAGAAACTGGGACGCCTCGTCACCTCTTCTTTCAGGATTATCCATTTCAGTGGTAAGCAGTGCAGATGGGTAATCAAGCTCCAAGTTGCTCCCACTTTTTTCTTCTAATTGGATGTAATAGTCGCTTCCAACAGAAAGGTTGTGGGCATCAAAAACGGGAACCACTCCAGGGGCTCTAACAGGGACACGCTGGCCACTGTCATCTTGTTTCCCGGGCCCGGGATCTGAAAGTGAATTCTCAAAAACTTCAACTGGAAAGAAGATGCTTGTGTAGGACAAGGCTTCATCCGGGTGGCCCCGACTGCGCTCGTCAAAGTGATCATGCTTAGCTGCCTCCCAGACATACTCGAAGCTCAGGCCCTGGCTGGTTTCAGTCACGGTGAGGACTTCCTCCATTTCACGACCAAGCCGCTCCCTGGTAAAATGGTCAAGAATTGGGAACGCAGCATTATTTGAAGCGTCTCTGCTATTTGTATTTGGTTTAAGAGCATTCCACTGTTGTTCAAAGTCGACTTCTGAGTCCCTTTGGCTTTGCATCCGCAGGTAGGTGAGCAGTCTATGCACATCTTCAGCCGCTGGTCTCTTGTCTGGTGACAGCCAGCAGAACTGTAAAACTTCATACCTGAGTGAGGCAAGAGAGGTAATTAATGGATTGCTAATGAATTGTTTTAAAATAAGAAAAGACTTTACAAGGACCCCTAAGACTCAACACCTCAGAAGTTTCTTTTTTTTTTTTTTAAAGATTTTATTTATTTAATTTTTTTCCCCCAAAGCCCCAGTAGATAGTTGTATGTCATAGCTGCACATCCTTCTAGTTGCCGTATGTGGGACTCGGCCTCAGGATGGACGGAGAAGTGGTGCTTCGATGCGCACCCGGGATCCGAACCCGGGCCACCAGCATTGCAGCGCGTGCACTTAACCATCAAGCCACAGGGCCGGCCCTTCAGAAGTTTCTATACTTTAATCACTGCCGACCACACGAAGGAGTTCAGTTCACGGTGAAATCACGGTGAGAGAGGAAATGAAGAAATATAAAATTTGGCTGACTAATTTTTGTGTTCTCAGGACATTTCACAATATCACTGCAACTCTTTTGTCATTTGTTCTTCTGGTATTTATCTAGTGACCTATCCACTGAATTTAGAAACAGTTTTAACATGCTCTTCTCCTAAATGCCACATGTATTCTATGTAGTAAAGAATGCACTTGTCTCACATTTTTAGATTCACTCACTTTATTTTGTGAGAATTCACACAGACAAATACTGTTATAACTAATCTCTGACTAGTCCCCTGATAAAAAGTAACACTACAATCTTCTGCAGCATGTAGTTTCCTTAGCTCAGAAAAGGAGCTGACGGTAGAGGGAAAAAAGTAGAGAATGAAGCCCAACCAGGAGCTGGGTCTTCAAAGGTTTGGATGAATACAGCCAACAGCTTAAACTGTAGCCATGAGCAGAAGCGAAGACAAAGACAACTTCAAAGCACAAAGTTTACAGAGTAAATGTCAAGTTATTGTGGGTAAAATAGTTCTAGCAACTTGGGGACCTGAGCAGTGCCTACATGCAGGAGTCCCAAGCTTCAGAGGTAATGCCAGATGGGCATGTGGAGGTGTAGATAAAGGTCTAAAGGGAGGTGAACCTGATCCGAGTTGGAAATGGAGTAAGAACTGGTCTGAGGACTCATAAAAAGTAAATCTGTAAATGAAGTACGTTTGTTTTGTAAATTTCAACATACATTATACAAATTAGTTTCAATAGACAATTTAAATATCATCATTTTTATACTATTTCTTTTCTCACATATTAGATATCACTTATATAAACACCCTCATTTTAAAACAGTTCCACGATAGGGAACTACCTTAATATCGACTTTTCTAATTAGTTCAGACTTCATATTTTTTCTTACTGCATGTAATATATAAATTCCTGCTTGTTCTAAACATATTTCAAAAATAACATCACATTTTAAAAACAGATGTTAATTCTAAAATCAGTCATGAATGATATACCAATGATTGCTTTTCATAACATCCATTGTTTAAGAATAGGGAATATACAACTACTAACGCCCATGAAAACAGGATTTCCTTATCTTGTGAAAATGACAAAACAAAACACGGAGTCACCCACCATCGATCAGAATAAGGCTGCTCCAGCTGGGGCTTTGGGAGCTTTGTGTCTCTCTCTCGAATGACCTGATTGAGAACATCTAAGTTGGAAAGGTTGGAATAAGGCTGAGCAGCATTATCAAAAAGCTCCCAGAGTGTCACACCCAGGGACCTATGGAAAAAAGAAAATGGTTATGTCTTTCTCCCTTTAGATGTCAAATTTTTTCACACCAACACTTCTATTTGTACAGTCATTAGTAATTTTAAGGACAAGGTGTGTACTGAAAAGGTTATTAAAGATAGCTCTTTAACATGATTTTAAAAAAGAGGCATTTCCATTATAATGAAGAACACAACAAGAATACCTCCTCATATTTACTACTGAATTCTCTAGAAGACCTGGCAATGCAAAAAAATATAAAACAGAGATAAAAGGCATAATTATAGGGAGGAAGTAATACGATCGTCAACTTAAAAACTCAAGAAATTATTTGAAAGATCATTAGAATGTTTTAAGAGTTCAGCAAAATGATTGGTACAAGATAAATATCTTGAATTCTGAGTTTCTTGGTGGAAAACAAATCCCATTCACAATAGCAATAAACACCAGAAAATATCTAAAAGAAATCTTTCCATGAACAAATCATCTCTTCCCTGTGGGACCCATATGTTTCTTGTTGTAGTTATTCCTAAGTAGTTTGGGTTTTGTTGCCATTATGACGGGACTTCTCTCCATTACTCTGCCAGCTAATGTGGGTGCCAGAGAGGCCACCTGCCGAGCCTCTCAATGCTTCCAGTATGCAGCCATTCCCACAGGAAGGAATACCCCTTCTCCGGACCTGTCCCACTGATCTGTCCCCATGGAAATGGCCTCTGCTGCTCAAGTCAGATGAACACTAACTCTTCACCTCCTCGACACCACCTCTGCGTTTCTTTCTCACCACTTACTGTGAGCCTTCTGTCGTGTATTAGTCTCCTATTTACTGCAAATGGCTCCCAAATCTGACTGATCTTCTATGTTGTCTGGAAGCTTTAAACCAACACGCTGGTATTTAGGACCCACCCCAAGGACTCTAAGTTGGTAGATGTAGGTGTGGCCTAGGAAACTGTATTTTCAAAAAGCTCTCTAGTGGGGCCAGCCTGGTGGCATAGTGGTTAAGTTCGCACGCTCTGCTTCAGCATCTAGTTCGGCAGCCTGGGGTTTGCAGGTTCAGATCCCAGGCGTGGACCTACACGCTGCTCATCAAGCCACGCTGTGGTGGCATCCCACACACAAAAAATAGAGGGAGACTGGCACAGATGTTAGCTCATGGACAATCTTCCACTCTTCCTCAAGCAAAAAGAGGAAGATCGGCAACAGATTTTAGCTCAGGGCCGATCTCCCTCACACACACACAAAAATGTGATCATAATTAGCTTAGGGCCAATCTTCCTCACAAAAAAAAAAAAAGAAAAGAAAAGAAAATGTCAGTGATCCTGAGATCCAGCCAGTTTGGGTACTGATGGTTTATATGACTTTGATCGATACCCACCAGAATGCTTATTTGATTAATAAACTATATTGAATAAATAGAAGTTTATTATTTGAGGGGGCTGGCCTGGTGGCACAGTGGTTAAGTGCGCACACTCTGCTTTGGCGGCAGCCCAGGGTTCACAGGTTCGGATCCTGGGTGTGCACCAACGCACTGCTTGTCAAGCCATGCTGTGGCGGTGTCCCACATAAAGTAGAGGAAGATGGGCACGGATGTTAGCCCAGGGTCAATCTTCCTCAGCAAAAAGAGGATTAGCATCGGATGTTAGCTCAGGGCTGATCTTCCTCACACACACACAAAATTTATTATTTGACATTGCATAATACAATATAACTTACAGGCTAAATTCTCTTATGCTAATTTCAAAAATCAGTGAAAAAATCAGCATATTCAGTATCTAAGTTGAGAGATCACTTCTATCAAAGAAAACAAAGGGACTCAAATTTCCCAGTCCAATTCAAGTAAGAAGTGCTTTCTCCTGGGCAGAGAACTGCTAGGGGCAAAGGGCTGTTTTGGATACAAAAGAAGTTTAAGAAACTGTCAACCACTTGAGGGACCTTACAACTTAACTGAGAACAGTAAGAAATTCACATGAAATATTAAAGACCACAAAGGTGGTGTATGATTCGCAGCAAAATGAGTGTTACCACCACCAAGCTTAACCTTGGGTACATAACTCTACCTGGCTCAACTTCTTCAAAGCCCTGATTTCACTCCCCTACCCTCCCCCAACAAGGCCCACTCCCAAACCAGACCCCTCCCCAGCCCTGTCTCACTTTGTTTTTCAGAGAACAGGAAGCACTGGCTTTCTGCACTCCCCACCCCACCACATCTAACACATTTCTGGAGCATCCCTTCCTTATCTCCTCAGACAGGCCACAGAGAAAGATGGGATGCGTCTCCTGCTCAAGGTCAGTCCCTGCCCTGGAGCTCTCTATTCTGTCCCTCCAGTCTCCTCCGGGATACTCACCACCAATCACCTCCTCTTTCTCCTGTGTATTCAACTCTTCCCCTCACACTGGCTTGTGCCTCCCTGAGTACCTCCAAGCCTATTTCTTCTGGGAGGAAAAATGTCCTGTAGCTCTTGTCCCCTCTTCCACCAAACTCTCTGACAGAATTCCCTCTTGTTCACCCCCGGCATGGGGCAGTGTGGCCCCTGCCTGTGGTGGGAGCTGGCACTGCTGCCAGCCCTGCCACCACACACTTCCCAAACTGGCAGAAACAAGGGGCAGGCTCTGCATCTGGGAATGCAGGCTAAGTTTTCAGGGAAATCCCCCTGCTAAGAACATTAAAAATATGGATAAAGCATAAAACACATCTTCTTAAAGGCACTGAAGAGCAGATAAGATAAGGAATTGCCAGGACAAAATCTAGAACTTCAAGAACTAAGTAGAACACTAAAACCACCTTTGCCCTGGAGCATTTGCTGAAGCACAGAACTTGGGTTTCTGTGATTTAGGTTTACAAGACTTGATGGGGGTGATGGTGGTGGTGGACAGGCCAAAGCCTAGGCCTGCCCAAGGTAAAGGGTCTCACAGGGAGACCTCCTCATAGTGGGAATAAACCTGCCCCTACCGACCTTCAGGAGCCTGAAAGGCATGCTGTCTTGGCACTGAGGTGCTGTGAGTGAGTGTTTGTATGAGCGTGAGAGTACGAGTGTGTGTGTGTGTGTGTGTGTCTGTATGTATGTGTAAGCGATAGGGAGGGTAGTCCCTAAGAAGTCATAACCACAGAGCTGGCCCTTACTTCGATTTGCAGCCTAAATTCATAGATTTTTTTGGACCACTCCAAAAAATGGTCCAAAAAATCTCAAGTTGAAAAACAAAGCCCTGGACTTGTATAGTGACCTTATGGCAGGACACCCAGGTACCCAATAGCAAGTGTAGATCCTCTCTGGAATAATGTACTGCGATTCTAGGTCTCCAAAATCTTTACCACGAAAAGGTCCCCAAGGAAACAAGTAACCTATCAAGAACCAGCAAGATCAAATCCACAAAGACTTCAGATACTGGAATTATCTGATGCAGATCAGAATCCAATTATTAAAAGCACTGGGACAAACTTTTAAAAATCAAATAGACCTCCCAAGACTGAAAAATCAATAACTGAACTATAAAACTTAATAGAGATTTAACAGAAGAATAGACAGAGCTGAAGAGAGAATTTTAAAAAGAGAGAATTAGTGGCTGGAGCATAGGTCTGAAAAATTATCTAGAATGTGGCACAGAAAGTCAGAGATGGAATATATAAAAGAGAGATTAAGAGGCAGAACACAGAGCAAAAAGGCATAACACATGTCTCACTAGGCTTTCAAAAGGAGAGAAAATGGAGCAGAGGCAATATTTGAAGGGTAAGAGCTAAGAACAACACCAACCTACAGATTTGAAAAGCCGAATAAATCCCAAGCATAAAAACATAAGAAATCCACACCCATACACATCATAGTGAAACTACAAAAAACAAAAGACAAAGAGAAGAGTTTAAAAGCAGCCAGAGGGAAAAAGTCACATTACCTTCAAAGAGCTTAGGTAGACTTACAGCTGACTTCTCAATAGCAACAATGGAAGCCAGAAGACAGTAGAATGATATCTTCAATATGCTGAGAGAAAATAACTGTCATCAAGCAAAAACGTATTTCAAGAATGAGGACAAAATAAAAGTATGCTCAAACCTACAAAAAACTGAGAGTCTGTTACCAGCAGACCTTCACTCAAGGAAATTCTGAAGGACATACTTCAGGCAAAAGGAGAATGATCCCAGATGGAAGGTCTGAGATTACAAAAAAAACAGGAGAAAGAACAAAGTGATTTGATTACGTGGATAAACCTAAAGAAACAATGATGCTAAAAAAACAATAACAAGGTCTTGTGCGGTTAAAAAGAAAAATTTAAACACCCGACAAAAACATATAATTGCATGTGTGTGTGGTGTATAGTTAAACTGAGTTAAAGTATTCTAAGGTCCTTGTATTGATCAGAAAGGCCAAGACAAACCAATATTAGACTGAGGTAAGTGAAGTATACATGGTATAATTTCTACGGTAACCAAAAAAAGTACAGGAATAGAGAATATAGCTCTAAAACTAAGAGGAAAAAAACAGTTAAAAAAAAAATCAATCCAAAAGAAGGCAAGAAGAGAAAAAGAAAACAGAAAAAGCAGGACAATAACATAAAAAATGTAGGTATAAAATAAGAAAGCTAAAATAAAAATTGTTAGTCAAAAACTTAGACACATCTTTTCAATTTCCATTAAATTGACCTCCTATAAATCACAGTATTACATAATAGTCCAAACTTCTCTCTGTTTTTTCATTCACTTCAATAAATATCAATTAAACATCTATTATATGCCAGGCCCTGTGTCAGGCACAGAAAACAGACTTGGTTCTCGTTTTTACGGAGCTTATTACTGTCAAATGGGTAAGAGAAAAGTTAATTATATCATCGCAATTGTGATAATTGCTATGACGTCAATAAATTGTCTTTTTCATACCATCAGGCACTCTTGTGTTCCTACATCTTATTCAATTACTTTCCCTTATGAAAGTTCTCAAGGAGAAAGAAGGTAGGACTTGGCTACACAAAAGCCTAACAGAACAGTAAATCTATACATACCAGATATTACTATACTTAGTTTGATCTGCAGTTAGTAGTCTGTCTTGAAAGCTGGTTACTAATTCTGGTGCAGTCCATCGCAGAGGGAAAATTTTTTTATCGTCTGTTTCAATATAATCCTCCTGTTTTATTAGAAAGCATACAGAATTTGGAATTCTATTACACTTTTAGTGAGCTCAATGATTTAATTTCAGGTCATTCTCAGAACACACATACTTAACCCAAAAGACATATCAGAAAAAGAAGTGGGCATGACGAGAGACTTTCTGGGCAGAAGGTGGGTGAGGGTTTCTCCAAAGCCTCCTGGGCTTCATGAGCTGGTCTCTGAGCCATGAACGCTCACTCAGTCATCCTTCCTGGAAAAGGAAGGTACGCCGTGTCTGATGCACAGAACACAGACTCTGAGCAAAACATCTTTTAAAATATGCTGGGCCTTACACCCCAAATAGGGGAGTGGTGCTGGCTAACGAATAAGAGTGCAGGCTTTAGAATCTGACAGACTGGGTTGTAAGTCCACGTTCAACCATTTACCAGCTATGTGACTCTGGGCAAGCAACAAACAGACTAAGCCTTTTTCTTTATCTGTAAAATGAGGATGATACAATACCTACCTCTCCTTACAGTGAGGATTAAATGAGATCATGCAGTCAAGTACGTCATAGTGCTTGGTATACAGCAAGCACTCAAGACAAGAGAGCTATTATGTAGACAAATAACCAACTTATATTTGCATAATATTTTTTAGTTACAAAGTACTGTGAGATATGATCCCTTTGGTCCTCACCAGAACTCCCTAAGACAGAACAGATATTATCCTCATGTTGCTGCTTAGAAAGTGGAGGTCAAGTGGCTTATCCGAGGTCCCTGACAGCATGGAGCCAGCACAATCGCATTCTCTGCCTCACATCATGTTATCTCAGCTGGGCTACACAAACACACACAAATGAAAACTTCATCAACTTCAAATTTTCTTTGGGGATATATTTATGACAGAGTTTAAAAATCCAAATCCCAAGCTTACTGAACGTAAGCCGAAATTTTACTGAACACATAACAGAGAAATATTTGTGACACGTATTTTATTATACAAGTGGTAATAATTGTTGCCCATGTGTCCATACTAAAATTTATTACGCACCATCAAACTATATCAATTACACTGTGTATAAGTCTTTTTAAACAAAGCATTTGGAAAGCTGTCACAAAACCTCAGGCACAAAGCCACAGATTTAGACATCAGAAGCCACACATCAGAAGCCAACACTACCATTAAAATGACTGGAAGGAACCCCTCTCCAAATGGTAACACGACCAAGATTCCTATCCCCTCTTTCACAAACGGAGCATTGTTTTGTGATATTACCACCTATGAAATTAAATCAGATTAAGGAGAGACCCTTAAACCGTTGGCTTACCTTGTACCTGCTGAATCCTATCCCATAATCTCCCACTTTCACATTTAAGTCCGAGGTCAGAAAACAATTCCGCAGGGCTAAATCACTGAAAACAGAAAGGGTGAAGTGAACATGGGAATAAGGAGCGTCTGCAACCAGGACAATGTAACATGAAATTGCTATAGAAAAACGAATTTCTCAAGAAATCAGAGTAGTATACTGAACTCCCTACTTAATTAATGTTTTAAAATTCTTCTTCACAGAAAAAAGATTATATATCATATCCTTCATTACTTAAACAATGGAGATGATCAGATGTTTTTGCAAGTAACTATGCTGGCTAAGGTTCAATACTGACCACATCTGTACCTTGTTCTGTATTAATACCAGATTTATGGCTTGTTTAAGTGACCAAGAAAGAATTCTAAATACTTTTGGCTAAACTGTCTGAATATTTTATTTTACAATAACTTGTATTACTTGAGTAATAGTCTAGTAGTAGTCTATTACAAGTAAAGATTAATAAAGGTACAGCTTCGAGCATCCAAAAATAATCTACATTATTAAAAATGTTTACTTCTCAACTCTTTTTTCAAAGCTACACAAGCATTATAAGGAGGTCCTTTCCAAATTACTCTCATCTCTTTCAAATTCCACCTCCCCACAAGGGAGGTAAAGAGTATATTTTCAAGACTTACTTAAAACAACGTACTTATGTTGTTTATTTAAGAACAAGTTAATTTTCAAAAACATAATTTGAAAAGTAAACACCACTTTTGCTAAAGGAACTTCCCACGTAGACAACAAATTAAATTTTTTGGATTTTGGCCTTAGCCCTTAGAATCTCTTTAATCCTCAATTGGCATAGGAATTAAAACGCCACTAAATTAAAATAGAAAAGGAAACCTAATTTATAGTTTTAAATCATAAATAAAAGTTATCAAAAACTGAATTTCTATAGTCCAAAATATAAAATGTTTTTGTTTATATGACTGTAGAAGACCAAAAACTTAAAACTAATTCTTAAATTCTTATTTTCAAAGATTTTAATTTCCAAAGCTCACATGTCTGAAATATAATGACGACAGCGACAGCTAACGCTGATATGATTCAGTGACAGCCTAGTACATAACATTGATTCAATTACATAATAATGGCTAATATTTACAAAGCACTTACTTTACGCAAGGCGTTTCTCTAAGCACACTACATATATTAACCCCTTTAATCTTCACAACAAACTTTTGAGCTGGGTACTATTATTTTCCCCATTTATAGAACAGGAAACTGAGGCACAGAGAATTGAAGTAACTTTGCTAGGGTCACAAAGCTGGCAAGGCATCGTTCAGTAGTATTTTCATCCTGTCACCATCAATAACTATCAACGACAATAAATTACCAGAGAACTATACCATGCATATGGCTACTCCTCAACAAACATGTGCTGATCTGAAATTCCAGTTAGTTATATTAAATTTCTCTCTACACTCTCTCTGTTTACAAGTGGTGATCTTCACAGAGCTCTATCCAGAAGGCTTCAGGCCTGTGGAGGTGGCTGGGAAAAACTTCGGGACACGCGACTCCACTGTTACAAACAATACAGAAACTTCCAACCTTAAGAAGAGAATCGGTCCCTATCTTTTGGAATAAAGGGAGGAAGGGAGGGGAGAGCAATATGCCATTTGAGGGCACAAAAATGAAAATGCTTTAAGTCAGGCAGTTTTATCCACTGGACCGATGGCTGCAGCGGACAGTGTTGTGGGTTTTGCCAACAGAAGTTCTGTTACTGAGCACCACTGATGAGCATTTCTAGAGTCTCTATATATGGATCCTTCTCAACCTTCCCAACATCTCCCTCCTAAGGCCAGAATGAAAAGCTGGGTGCCGGCGTTCCAACAGGGGCAGGTGTGTGTCACCTGCAGGCCTGAGGCTGGCTGGGGCACCTTCAGGGCACTTGGCACCTTCCACTCAGGCCATTTGTACAACTAACTCCTGGACTGCCTGGCTTCCTCCCTCCTCTCCTCTCCTTACCCACATTCAATGCAGGTCTTTAGACACATCAGATGGGAAGGTTAGATAAAAGATGAAAAGTTATATATGCAAAAGCCCTTTGGCTCTTACTGTAAAAGGCATTATAAACTCTAATACAGTTCAACTGATATTCTCAGGAAAAGGAGAAACACTTCTCATTACCTGAAAACCAGTGACTGGAGGAATTTCTTCTAAACCTGCTCCCCACCACCACCCCATACAACCCAGTCACCACAGCACAATAGAAAAAGCATTGGACAAAGTCAGAAGACCTGGAACTTCTTGGCTCCACTTAAGAACTGTGTGACTTTGGGCAAGTCACTTCACATATTAGAGCCTCACTTACCTCACAAAAAAATAGAGATGCACCTGTAAGGGCTAACTCACAAGGTTTTTATAAAGATAAAATTAAAAAAATATATACATAGATAAAATATATTTCAAAACATTAAAGTGTTATCCAAATTCAAGAAGATGATGATATTTGATTCAAAACTGGTAAAAATAAATATTCTCTGAAGCTCAATAACATGTAAAGCTAAAGAACAGAAAAACACAAAGGTATAACTTCTTAACAACAGAGGTAACTCTTGACGTCAATGGCTGGTTTTGGTCAGGAAATACAAACATGTCCAGGATATTCTTCCTCCAAGTTGAAAAACAGGTCTAGTGGCGAGGCTGCCAAGTGATCCAGCCTTGAAAGGCTCTCTAAAGGCCTTGGCTCGGTTCTCCTGGGCTGGCAGCACTTGCTGTCACCTCAGCTGTCAGGGACTGTGTGGGACACAGTCACGTGAGTGGGGCTGATGGACATAGGAAGTGGGGGCCCACAGATTTCAAGAGTTCCCCAGGCTAACTCACAAGGAAACATCAGCACTTGTTCTCAACTCACACGAGAACTAGAGCTTACCCATTTCCAGAAGGACTGCTCTAATGGAGACAGCTCAGTGTGACTGGAGCCATTTGCAAAATCATCCACACCTCTGTTTATGTTACCTACTGATGCTTTCCCAAGTAACCTGAATTCCTGATAAAAAGAGTAACAAACGGCGAGCAAAATAACAGAAAGCAAAATAACTGAAAGTTACTGATGTTCTTCTAGGGCTTGGCATACGTTACCTTATGTAATCCTGACAACAGCACTCCAGGGTAAAGATTATCCCCATCTTATAGAAGAAAGAGGCTCAGAAGGATTAAGTAAGGTGGCTTAAACTGGTAAAGCTGATGAGAGGCGAATTAACAACCTCAATCCCAAAGTCTCGCCGTGTGCACCACACCACTCTGCCTTTGGCAGCCACGAAGGTTCAAAATCAAAATCATTACACAGGTTCTGAAGAGACTCTGCCACTTATCACTCGAAGATGGGATGTAGCTCAAACAAGTCCAAGTAGAAGATTAAAGCCAAAGGATTCTGATAAGGCACAAAGAGGCGACTTAGAGTTTTGACAGCTTTCGCCCGTTTATTAGGTCAGTCCTTGCTAGCTGAACACACTACCTTTACTAAGCCTCTGCTTAGTAAAGGCACCTGCCCGGCTTTGGGTACACAGAGAATACCTCCACTGTGAGATTCTGGGTAGACCCTGAGGAAAATGCCTCTGGCTACAATGTGATCCACCACTGAGGGCCTGAGTTTTGAGGGCTGGTGATAAAATGGAGATAAAGCCTTCAGTTCTGAGTTTCCTCCAGGACTGGGCAAGAGGTGACACTGAGTTGGACTTTCAGGCCTACATGGGTCTCAACTTCTGGCTTATTTTTCCACGGTAAACTAAACAAAATATAAAACTGGACAAAATATACCAGGAAGCAGTTTTCAGGTACTGGACAGCGGACAGCCCAGGGTTCTGATCCTGGTACTTGCCTGTGCCTCAGAATCACTTGGAGGGCTGTGACAACCCAGTAGGCCTGGGGTGGGGCCATACTACCTATCACACAAGCCCCCAGATCCAAGCCTAGACTAGAAGGCAGCAGCAGATCAGCATCAAAGACGGCCAGCATGTTTCATGTGTGCACACTTCCAACCAGTCACAAACCAGCTGGTTTAAAAACACAGCTAGCACTCTACCATAAATCCCCATTAATTTTCCCCATGGGGCTAAGGTCATCTAGAAAAATGGAACATTTAATACTTTAACTACAACAAATGATTTTAAACCAAGGGTTATAATTCCAAAACAAGGTGGACTGACATCTGAAGACACTCACCTCAACGGTTCTTTTCACTACATCACACACACTCAGTCTGTAGCACACTTCTCTTCCCTGACGACACACACAGACAGCCCCACAAGTCTAGAGCTTTGTCCTTCCTAACCCTCTCGTGCACAAACACATTTTGCATAAACTGGGTTATATGAATGCTAGGCTTCTTCTGAGTCTTCCTCAAGTGCAGCCTTTAAAAAAAATATTTTTTAAAATGTTTTCCTCCTTCCCTGCCCATCATTCCTCCTTCCCTGTCCACCCATTAACATGTACTAACAAATTGGTAGGTATAATCTTTCTATATTTTTTTTCATACTTACAGACATAGTTCAAGTACACATACAAATAACGGGATTAAGGAGCAATTGCCTTACAAACATTCAATATTATCCCTACTTACCTGCATCTTTATTTCTTATTCAACAGTGTCACTACGTGGAAATCCCTCCAAGTTAACTAGTACAGCAGCTCTAAATCTTTCTTTACAGTAGTCGTGTAATATTCCACAGTGCAGATGTACTTAAATTTATTCTAGTCCCCCATAATGAACATAAACTTGGTTTCTTTTTTCTTTTTTGCCATCATTTCAAACAATGCTGCAACAGACACTTCTAACACACATTCTTAAGTTCCAGTTCTTCTACTTCCTATGGGATTGAGTCTAGGAATGGGGTTAGAGGGAATGTGCATTTTTAATTATATAACTACTGCCCAAGGGCTTTTCAAAATCTGTAATAATTTATATGCAATATATGACGTATACACGCAATATACGACACAAACTTGCACCACATTCCTATCAGCAATAGATGCAGCAGTTCCTTTCAATCTTGAGTTTCAAGTTACTTTAATTTGCATGTCTCTAACTACTTCTGAATT